GGAAGATGTGGACGGACTGCCTTACACACTGGACTTCCTGGTCCTGGAAGAGCTGGATCTCATTCAGACGCTGTTGAAGGCACCGCCAGTCAAGGCAGAGCTTCAGCAGCAGCTACAGAATGCCGGACAGGCGGCTGCCACATCCAGCTGGTTGCCAGAGATCCTGAAACTAGCAGGTTCATATGCTCAGATCACTTCGGAAGAAGAAGGTTTGTGGGACATCGATGTAAACCTCTTTCTCTCAGAAGAGACCTCTGTTACTGCCAACTACACGCCCCGCACTTGCAGTGGAGATCTCGTCATCAAGCTAGGCGAATGGCTCAAGAATACTGCTGTTGAGGGTCTGCATGCGCATCTGAATACTGTGTTCTCTGATCCGTCCTCCACGTAAGCAGCCTTCCCCAAACCATCCTCGTCAGGGACTAACGCCATGCTCAACTCTCAGGTGGAAGGCTCGCGAGTCTGCCCTCTACATTCTGAGTCAGATTCTCCGGGACTTCAACGAAGTTTCTCAGCAGGTTCCCGCCGGGCTTGCTAATGGCTTCAGCAACCTCATTCAGTTTGCTATTCAGCAGGAAGAGGAGTTCTTGCGGGCCCGCGGCTATCTCGCCGCTGGAGTTCTTTGCCAGGTAGCTGATGAGTCTTTCCAACAAACCGCGGTTTCGTACCTCGAGGCTTCCCTCAAGGCGGTGACTGAAGATCCATCAGAGGTCGTCAGAGTATCCTGCATCCGGGCACTACAGGATCTCATGCCATCGCTTCCCTCAAGCGCCACCGTTCCACTTCAAGCAGCTGCCATCTCCGCGCTGTCAGACTTCATTTCCTCTCACGACATCTCGGAACATTCTGACAGTGACGATCTCAAAGTCACCCTCGCGGAGACCTTGCGTGATACCATCATTGTCAACCCAAGCGTGGTCTTGTCTTCGAATGCCATCGATGTGCTATTCAACATCGCCAGCAATGGACCTACTAACTTCCAGTTGACGATGATTGTCACGGAGGCCTTTGAGGACATTGTGGAATATATTTCAGAACAAGGTCCCGAGTCCTTTGTTCGCCTTTGCGAGAAGGTTCTCCCATCCTTGACTGGAGCGATCGATGTTGGCAACCTGACTCAGGAAAACGCTCTGACGAATTTCGCCGCGGACCTCATTCGAGCTCTCGCGGAGAGAGCTTCTGAGCCCCTTCCTAGCGGTTTTGTCGAGGCCGTCATGCCCAAGTTGAACCGCCTGTTACTGGACTCAATTGACGCGGAATTGATTCGTCCTGCCACAGAAGCCGTGCGCCACATGCTTTCACACGATTTCAACCAGTTCGTCACGTGGAGAGATCCCGAAAATGGCAAGGAGGCGATCGAAGTTGCCCTCATCATCATCGATCGTCTGCTGGGGCCTGCTGTTGATGACAATGCGGCAACCGAGGTCGGACAGTTGGCAGCCGAATTGGTCGAGCGGGCGGGTTCCGAACGACTTGGACCTTACCTGCCACAGCTTCTCCAGGCTGTTGCCCAGCGACTTGCAACTGCGCAGCAAGCCCAGTTCATCCAGAGCCTCATTCTTGTCTTCGCCCGACTGACGCTCGTCAGCGCGCGTGAAGTTGTCGACTTCCTGTCGCAGGTGAACATCGGCGGTCAGAGCGGTCTTCCCATTGTGCTCAGCAAGTGGCTGGAGAACTCAGTCAACTTTGCCGGCTACGATGAGATCAAGCAGAACATCATTGCCCTTGCGACGCTGTACAACCTGGAAGATCCTCGCATTTCTCAGGTGCAGGTGAAGGGTGATCTGATTATCCAGGACACGGGTCGCATCCGCACCCGGTCCCAGGCTCGCAAGAACCCTGATCAGTACACAACAGTGACCGCACCCTTGAAGATCATCAAGGTTCTGGTTGAAGAACTGGCGGCGGCCTCGGGCAACAAGGAGATCGACGCGGCCACTGCGGCTGCATTGGAGGAAGAGGGCAGTGACGAAGACGACGAATGGGAGGACGTTCCGGGCAATACTCTCGACCTCAACCTCGGAGTCACCAAGCAGGAGCTGATGGCATTCGGCGAGGGCGGCAGTGAGAGTGTGTTCGGGGTTCGCAAGCGTGACGATGAAACGCAGGGCTTCCTGCTGGACTTCTTCCGCAATGCATCCACAAAGCCTGACTTCCAGCAGCTGTTTACGTCACTGACTCCGGCCGAGCAAGAAAAGTTACACAGCCTAGGTTGAATGATGAGAATTATGCTTCAGTCCTAATTCCTTGGTGAGTGTGCTCGAGGCTTCAGTTCGGGGCTGCTATGCAAAAGTGACGAAGCATTGAGACAGAGCTGCGGCTTTCTAGATATTTACAGTACATGATTTAACAAAAAACTTTAATAGCAATCCCGATGGATTTTGACCCCAAGAAGGATCTAGCACGGTCGTAGCCCGTAGGAGCATTCGATTGTTAATTTATACAGTCAGAACAGCACCCTGCCCTGACAAACGAAAAACGAAGTACTACACAAACTAGTCCGGAGCTAGTCGATTATCACCGATCGATGTCGCAGGATGATTAAACACCGGAGGGAGGGGGATCATCTCGGGGATCACCTACGACCCGAAGCCAATTAATGCTCGACAACTTGCTTACTATCTCGAGGTAGTTTGTTAGTGGGTGATTCGAGCTCGAAAATTTTTAGACAGGATGTAAGCAATCACCCAAGAGCGGTCATGGAAAAAGGAAATAAGCAAAAAGCAAAGGCAACGGCACCGGGGGTGCAATTTTTTTTTTTTTTGTTGTTATTGTTGTTGTACAATCAAGGAAATTCTCCGGTGTCGAATATCCGGGATACTTGACTGGTAGCCCAGCAGCAGGCTGGGGAAACAATAGAAAAGGTCGAAGGTCATACTAGGTAAAGAGAGCAGAACCGGTGGGGGGGGGAGGGGAGAGCCAATGCAAGGCGGGGATATCTCTTGATTGTTTGATTCGGGTGTCCTGGAGAAGGTGGAATCTTGAATCTTGTTGGCTAGTGGATTTACTTACTTGGGGAAAGTCTACATCTACTTTACTGTACTGTAGTTAGTCAGTTAACCCAGTAGACTAACATGTTAACTTATCAGGCTAGCTGAAGGCACAGTAGTACCTGGGGACAGGACCCAGGCCCAAGGTTTTTTGACAGGACAGTCTGTGTGACACTGTGACACTTGTGACACGTCCTGGATGGAAAAAAAGGATAAGCCGACGGCTTTAGCCGTGCGGGGCTTCTTCTTCTTCTTCTTCTTCTTCTTCTTCTTCTTGTTTGTCTTACTCGATTTCCTTGGGGGGCTTTTTGGGAGGGTTGTGGTGCTAGATGTGAAACAAACCGATGTATGTTCTAGTCTGGATTGCTATTTGCGGTATAGGTACTCCGTACAGTACATAGGAAGATGGGACCACATCTACGGATTCGGGGCCGAATTCGAAACAGAAAGTCTGCGTCTGTGCGATTGGGGGATTTGCTTGAAGATGGATCTTCGATTTATGAGTACGATGTATGCTGTGGTTATCGCTGGCATGGCTTCGCTACCCTACCCTTAGGCGAGTATATTATTAGCAGGAAAAGGGGGGGGTTGGTAGATCAGTACAAAGTATAGATCCTATGTTGATCGAAGATGGATCGTTGCGGAGTACTGTACACACACACAGTCAAGCCTGCAGTTGACGTGATGAAAAATCCAAATCATGGCTCTCAGGTACTGTGTGATTCGGACTGTACGCTACCTGAGCTGCTACCCAAGATACTATGTGGCTAGGGTTTAGTTAGGAGGGTGGAAGAGGGGGATGTCTTATCCAGCCAATGAGTGGGTGAAGTAGTGAATGGGGGAGAGGAGCAACGCTGCAGTGAGGAGATCGACTTCCACCCACCAGCAAAGTGGATAGGTTTAGTCTTGTTGACTGGGCTTGTCGATCCTTTGGAGTGGAAATCCTTGTCAGATTCTTGTTTGTTTGTCTTTCCTGCTTCTTGCCTCTCCGTGCGAGGAATGAGATATGGATGTGTGTGAGGAAACAGCACCGAGCCGAAAAGGGAGGCTGAATGCAGCGAAGCAAGAAAGAGAGCCAGAAATACCAAGCAAAAATCCCGATGGGACGGACGCGGCACACCGCCACCCTCCGCCGGACCCGACGCTCTGTTTCTTGGGTCCGCGACTCCCTGACACCCCCCGGTCAATGCGCCTATTCATACTTTTGACTTTTGGCACTGCACTGTGAAGTTAGTGAGTGTACTGCATGTACTTCCTCGCCCGGGCTCAGCCCATGCCCTTTCTCCTCTTTCCCTACTGACCTGTCTACGGTCTCGGTCGATTCGATTCTTCTCCTCCTTCCTCTTGTTGTTCGTTCTCATCTTTGACTCCGTACATCTCGAATTCCTTATAAACCGTCACTCTCCGCAGTTGGAACGCATTGTACCGCTGGCGACCTCCCATTCGTTTACCTGTCGGTCGTTTCCGTCTATACTGCCATCTCAAGCAATATGTCGCACCCTAACATCGATGAACAAATTCAAATAGACGTAAGATCCCCTGTGCTGTTTTCCATTCTGATTTGATCCGCATCGGCCACTACTGGAATTCTCCAGCTTTTCCCCTTCTGTCATTCCTCGCTATATCAGCCGAGCAGGAAGCTTTCCTGCTGCTGTTCTCACATCACTCTTCAGACCAACACTATGTGATGTCACTGCAGCCACAACCATAAGTCATGGGCATTCATTTCAATTAGGGTAACAACCAAAATGTCAAGAAGGGTATATTATCTCTTCGTATTCGTCATCTATCCAGATTAAATACTTGCTTTACTCGATGTGCCACAGAGCTTCCAGCCCACAAGATAAAACCCGACAAGACTGACCTAACCCCCAGACCAGCGATGACAACGACTCCCTCCTGGACGCGCAGTCGATCGTCGGCTCGAACCTGACCATCTCCTCGACCGTGCGCGACTACTGCTTCGAGAACGGCCGGCGCTACCACGCCTACCGCAACGGGCAATACCCGATGCCCAACGACCAAGAGGAGCAGGACCGGCTCGCGCTGCTGCACCAGCTCTTCAAGAGCGTCACGGGCGGCGAGCTGCACCGCGCCCCGGTCCTCCTCCGCCGCCGCGCCGCCGCGCCGCCCCCGCGCCCGCAGCGCGTGCTCGACGTCGGCACCGGCACCGGCATCTGGGCGCTGGACGTGGCGGACGCCTACCCGCACGCGGAGATCGTGGGCACCGACCTCAGCCCGATCCAGCCGCGCTACACGCCGCCCAACTGCTCGTTCCTGATCGATGACGCCGAGAGCGACTGGGCCTTCCCGCCCGAGGAGGCCTTCGACTACATCCACGGCCGCTCGCTGGGGGGCTCCATCGCCGACTGGCCCCGCTTCCTGCAGCAGGCCTACCAGCACGTCCGGCCCGGCGGCTGGGTCGAGATCCAGGAGTTCGAGACCTGGATCCGCTCCGACGACGGTACCGACCGGCAGGCCGTGCTGATCCACGAGTACCAGCGCAAGCTGGACGAGGCCAGTCGCAAGTTCGGGCGGCGCATGAACATCGCCGCCAATGTGCGCGGCTGGATGCAGGACGCCGGGTTTCAGAATGTCACGGATGATACGTATAAGGTGGTCTTCCCCCCTCCCCCCCCCCTACCCGTTGGCAACTCAATCAGATCGCGAAGCGTCACAAGCTTATACTGACTGACTCGATCATGTAGTGTCCGCTCGGCCCGTGGGCGAGAAACTCGCATTTCAAGGAGCTCGGTCGCATGGGGAAGGCGGCCTTCTTTGATACGATCGAGCCGTATTCCCTGGCGTTGTTGACCCGGGTCATGGGGTACACGTACGAGCAGGCGCAGCAGTATGCCCAGGACGTGCGGCATGAGTTGGTCCACGGCTCCTTTCACATCTATACCCTGTTCCATTATGTGTACGGGCAGAGACCGCTGGATAGGGCTAATAATGATGACTCTGATGGCAGTGACGGTGCCGATGCTGCTGCCGATGATGATAACGATGCTGATGACAATAAATGATGTGTATGTATATATGTGTATGTGGTATGCCATTGTAATGACCTGGAGTTGTACTGTGCATAGCACGAGTTGAACTAAGCGGGATCGTACTTTTCACTATTGGTCGACTCTTGAGCTCAATCGGGAGGATACGTTGCTGTTCAAAAGATTATGTATCACTTCAGGGAACCGATCGTCTTCGTAGATAATAGATTGTACCGTACCTTCCAGACCACAACTCCCGGTGGTCTTCCGTTGATAATAGCCACCTTGCTACGGGAGCAAATGTACATATCTACACTACTTCGTCGAGAGGAAGATAGTTACTTGTACAGCAGTAAGGAGCAGAATGGCAGCTCTCTCGCACCCTGCGACGTTTCGGAAAACAAGCCGAAAGAGGCGGTAGATGGAAAAAAAGAATAGTGACGTGATCCCGCAAAGTGTGCAGCGGCTATACGCAGAAATAGATATATACCTCAACCAAACCAATGGACACAACAATAGGGATGTGCCAGGGGCATCAACAACTCAACCAAAAGCAATTTTAGACGGGATGCGGTCGGTTACTGTATAAGAACGAGGTCAATCTTGCCCCCTCTAGCAAGGAATAAGAACATCATCCACGGAGTGAGCGGGCAGTCACTCAGTAAAAAGTGAAAAAGGTAAAGCCCAACGCGGGGGTTGAACCCGCAACCTTGAGATTAAGAGTCTCACGCTCTGCCGATTGAGCTAGCCCGGCTGGGGTGAAGGAAGAAAGAATCGGATTCTATAGCCGAACGCGGGGGTTGAACCCGCAACCTTGAGATTAAGAGTCTCACGCTCTGCCGATTGAGCTAGCCGGGCTGGTCTTGTTAAAGGGTTGAGGTAGTGTTGACATTATATTCTTGCGCCATGCTGCTGGGCGTCAGAATCATGTACAAGGATGGGCAGGTCTACAATCTATCAATGGGGTCGGCCTGTCGGGTTTCCTCAGGGAATTGGGCCACGTGACCCATAGATACACCAAGCTACCTTACTACATGTTGAAGCATTTACTTAGCTACACCTTGTAACCACCGAGGATTCAAGACATCGTTCCATACCGCCGATGCCCGAGCGTCGTCATTCTATCGATACGGCACAGCTCAGTACACAAGTGTTCTCATTCTTAGAATACAAGGATGGCATAATTGAATACATCAAAGTCTGAATGCTGAAGTAGAAGCCGCATACGCTGGCCAAAGCAACCTTTCCCTAAGTACAGGCCCCTTAGTAACGATACTCACCTGAGCCATAGCCTTGGTTGTAGCCACCATTGTAGCCACCATTGTAGCCACTGCCTCCGTAAGAATCATATGAAGGGCCAGGTGGAGGATGGCCGGGAGGGTGATGGGGGTGGTCACCGTGACGACGATGCTGACCGCCATCCGACTCACCGCCGTGTTCATAGCCTTGGTTGTAGCCACCGCCATAGCCACTGTTGCCCCCATAGGAATCATTTGGACGACCAGGGGGAAGGTGGCCGGGAGGGTGATGAATGCCTTCCGACTCGCCGCCGTGCTCGTAGCCTTGGCTGAGGTAGGCGGGGCGAGGCTGATGGTGGTGATGTTGATGGTGGGATTCCTCGCGGGAGCCGCGGTAGTCATATCCCTGGCCACTGGGGTACGCCGGACGGGACTCATAAGGACGAGATTGCTCGTAAGAGCCGTAGGACTGCCCCGAGTACTGCTGCTGGGATTGGTACGATTGCTGCTCACTTTGGTATGAGGTCTGGTATGTCGAGCTCTGAGTCTGCTCGTTTTGGTATGAGCTCTGGTATGTCGAGCTTTGAGTCTGCTCGGGATCCTCGTTTCTCGACGAACCGCCGACCAGAAGGTTGGAGAAGGCACTGTTCAGGCCCCCAAGGTTGGAGATGCCAGGAATGGGCAAGTTGGCAAGTCCCCCGAACGGTGAGCCGCCGCTCTGCTGCTGCTGCTGCTGCTGCTGCTGCTGCTGCTGCTGTTGTGAGGAAGGAGGACGATACTGCTGGCTGTGTCCAGATTGGGTCCCACCACCACCATGGGTGTGGGGTACACCACCCGTGTTCTTGCCTGATTTTACACCCTCGGCGCTTAGAATGTCATTGAGTCTTGAGCCTCTGTCAGACCGTGATTGGACCCAACTCTCGACGGCTTCGAACATGGTCCGGTGGGCCTCGTTGCGGTTGTCGCGAAGAGCAGGGTGGTGGAACACCTTCAAGCAATCATCCAAAACCTGGTCCTCAGAGATGTTGATGTTCTCCCAGGCATGGAGAACTCGCGGGGCCACATACTTGAGAATAGCAGATGCAACCTGGCCAGCGGGCTCGTTGAGGATGTTGGCAAAGTGGTCCTTGGACAACATGGAGTGGGTCGGATCGGTACAGTCCGGATCCGTCCACGGCTCATACTGATGCTGGCCAGAGGCATCAATCACACCAGAGGAGCCGGTTTGTAGCGACTTGGAAGCAGCATTGATGATAGGACGAATGAAGGGTGCGAGGAGAGACATGATGAAGACCGTCAGGGTCTCCGTGATCTTCTCGACAACGGCCTCCAGCCCAGGGATCTTCTCAATGATCGAGGTGAGTTTACGAACCACCTTATCTCTAAACTCGAGGATTGGATAGATTTGCGCAATGGTCTGGTTCGGGTCAAAGTCTGGAAGTGCCGAGCCACCGGATCCTCCACTAGACTGAGGCCGTGCTGATTCACCAGCCCTATAGCTGCTAAGCTCTTCATCATCGAATCCACGGGAGCGCGAGGACTGGTAATCATCATCAAAGCCGCGGGGGCGCGAAGCCCCGTAATCGTCCTCGAGCCCTCTGCTCGAGCCGTATCCCTGACGGGTACCACCGCTCCGGTTAGCGGATTCTTGGGCCTCCGAGCGACGCTTGAGCTCTTCAGCTTCCTCGACGAGATCCTTCGTTCCCGGAATCCCGCCCAACAGATTCGTGAAAGCGCCAAGGGCATTCGCGGATGAGTTGTTCTGAGCATCCCCAAGGGCGATATCCATCTCGTTCACCTCCGACTGAGTGAAGTGGTCGGTGGCTTCTCCCAGAACAGAGTGGAAGAAATCCACCATACCGAAGGTACCTGTCACCAGCGGAAAGACGTGGCGGCCGCGGACGTTGAGTTCCGTATTGACACCGGTGTGCGGGAAGACATTCTTGAAGCCCATCTCGCGAAGAGCCAGCTCACAGTAATTGGTGTGTGCCGCGAAGTCTTCCAGGGTGTGGAGACCCTGACCCAGGCACCGCAGCGCCTCGCAAAGGTCTGCCTCGTTACCCTTGTCTCTGCCGTGGGTGTAGGTCCGCCCGTAGTGAATGCTCCGAGCCAAGCTGTACTTGATATATCCGGAGCTGGTCGTCCAGTCTCCGCCCTCATTGGCGATGTAGTTCTTCATGCCGGTTTCTGGGTCGATCTCGAGTTCCACCTGGCGGATAGGTCCACGCAAGCGTTTGTCGAACTGGCGCGCATCCTGGTTGTCCGCGTAGTCCTTAGGATTGTCGATATGCTCCTCAGGACGATAAACACCGAGTCTGTCGGAGGTGACCTCAAACTCGGCCGTCGCGTATCCGAAGGTCATGAAGGACAGGATCCAAACGAGGATGCGGATGGTATCGGCTTGTAGATTCTTGAGAGTACCGACATCCATGGCCTGCGAATAATCACGCAACCAGTTGCCAAAGTAGACGCGCTTGACCATGGTGGAGGTCCACTTGTGGCCTTTGATGAAGGCGACCGTCTTGAGCATATCCTCGATGTCTCCATGACGCCAGTTCTTGCCCTCCACGGCGGAAATCGATGCGATGTTTCCAGCGCCAAAGGCGTAGGTCTGAGCCGGCAGCAAAACGAGCAAAAGACCGAGGATGAGGAGGGCATGGGAGCCCAAATTCAGCCGCGGAGCCATAGCGCGGAAGATCTGCAGGGTCTCCGGGCAAAAGTGGGTGGAGACGTAATATGGAAGCAGTAAGGAGATTGGATTTAGGTCCACGAGAAGACGTAACTAAAGGCGCATGCAGCGGGAAGAGAGTCTGCAGTGTTTCCGGAAGACAGTAGAGACGGTTGTAAGAAAGTGAAGAGAGAGAAAAAAAATGACGAAGCAAGTTTGTTTTTCACTGATCTGCGAGAGGCGCAAGCCACGGCCAAGACAAGCTGCCCAGAGAGTCTTGGGAGTTGGGACTCGCTGCCCCGCCATTCTGCCTCTTTGGGAAGTCCCAAGCCGTGCCGACGGTTATTCACCGTGTGTATGCATTTTGACTCTTCGGGGTAACTATCTTATTCATGCTGCAGCTTCCCGATCATGATTGACACTAGGGTCTTGCTAGTCGAGTATTATTAGGCTGTCGTGTGTGTGCAACGTTGTCAACTTTGTCAACTTTGTCAACATTCATGGGCAGGATAGATCCATGCTTGGCAGTGGCAGTGGCAGTGGTAGCGGCAGAAGCGAGCTGAGCTACAGCCACCCCAAGCCACACCCCATTTCGTCATACGAGCTGACGACTTCATGGGCCCAGAGGATCATTGCATTGCTTGTGTCAGAGTATCGATATTAGCCATGCACTCTGTACTTTGTACTTGGTGCTAATTAGATAGAGTACCCAGTAGTATATGTAATGCTGATGATGAGGTTCCACAATGCGCTCAGTAGAGAAAACCAAAACAAACATAGAAATGAGACACCAGCATGTAACCATGTTCCATGGTTACTTTGAACCCCGCTTTGCTCCTCCTCTTATCGATTGCTCGCGTTTCTGCCCGCCGCGGGGTAAAGTTATTAATTCTATTCCTGGCAAACCAAACAATGCTCTGCGACAGCACAGGCATTATAAGCAATTCCAGCATAGCTTAACGACACTAGTAAAACTATTGTAGTAAAGTTAGCGAATGCAAAAAAGAAAAAGGTAACCCTTGACTGATAGGGTAGTATTTAGCCGTAAGCATAGTTGTGAGGGGATGTATCGGTGTTACTCCAACCACTTCGGGTGTGCCTCACTTGCTGCTAGTACAGTACATAGTACGATAAATGAGCACCGTTTATTTATACCGAGCCCCATAGATCGGCCTCTCTCTCCTTCCTCTTTCCCCACCAAAGACTTTCCTTTCCCTTTCTCTAGCCTACTTACCCTTCTCCCTCTTCTGTCTCCTCATCACCACCACCACCACCACCACCACCACCTCACCCTTCTTCAACCTCTACACCACCCCCCAAACCCAAGACAATGACAGCCACCGAAGCCCCCTACCTCGCTGCCCTCCAACGCGACGGCTTCGTCGTGATCCCCTCCCTCCTCACCCCCACCGAAATCACCCACTACCACACCATCGCCACGCAAGCCACGCACCTCACCCGCACCGGCCAATGGCCACACTTCCGGACCGTCCCCAAACAATTCCCGCCGTGGCCCAGCACCGTCCCACCGGCCTCTGAAGGGGGCATCTGGGGGGTGCAGCATCTCCTGCACCCGGAAATGCCGCACCGGACCGACTTCGCACGCTTCTACTTCTCCGAGAAAGTCCTCGCTGTCGCCGAGGAGCTACTGGGACTCAGCAGCAGCAGCAGCAGCAGCAGCAGCACCACCACCACCACCCACATCCCGGACAAAGAAGACGAACCCCTCGTGATGGAACTCTTCAACCTCCTCGTGGCCCCCGAAACCAAGGACTTCGCCCTCCGCTGGCACCGCGACGACATCCCCGAGCACGTCTCCCCGGACGAGGAGCTGCGTCTGCTGCACCAGAAGAGCCCGCACGGCCGCCAGTCCCACGCCCAGTATAACCTGGCGCTCTGCGAGGATCGCTCGTTGATTGTGATCCCGGGGTCGCATCGGCGCGTGCGCACGGAGGTCGAGCGGAAGGCGGACCCGTTCGCACCGGAATTGCCGGGCCAGTTGGTGGTGGAGCTCAAGCCGGGTGATGCAGTGTTCTATGATAGTAATATCTTACATCGTGGGGTGTATCGGGCCAAGGAGGCGGGGCGGGAGGAGGAGCCAAGGTTGACGCTGCATGGGAGTTTGGGGTTGAAGGTTACGGTAGATGAGGATGAGGGTGAGCAGGAGGGGGATAATGGTGGTGCTACTGGTAAGAGTGCTGCGGGGAAGCTGCGGGCGACGGCGGTGTTGCAGCATGGGGTTGGGGCGTGGGTGCAGCGCGAGGATGCCGCCTTTGGGATCGGGGAGCGCGCGGAGAGAATGAGGGCCAATCTCGTGGCGATGGGGTCGGGGGATGGCGTGGGGTTTTCTCTGCAGGGGTGATTGTTTCCCCTCCCCGTGGGTGACCTGGTGACCTGGTTTGGATTCATGTAGATATTGTAATGAGCCGGCGGAAGAAAGGTCTCGTCCAACACAGACGAAAGTCTATGGGGTTGCACTATAGCCAGCACAGGGTATACTGTATGCAGGGGGTAGATAGTGGTATCGGTGGTCGTATGTAATGTCATAATGGTGGTATTGTATGAAATTGATCGAAGACGCCGAAACTTCTATATATACTCGCTGTACGCGTAACAGGTACAGTACGGGAGGGAAAGAGATAGCACCACATACAGCTCACAGGATAAAGATAGAATAGAGGAAAGGGGAATCGAGGATGCGCCTGCCATCTACTCACAAGAAAAAGAAAGCTTGACGCTGCCCGTGTATAAAAACAGAAAATTGAAACCGAGATGAGGACATTGCTGATGGTATTGCAACTCTCTTGTTCGCCGGTGTCGCATAGTGGCCGAATATATCGATGGACCGAGCCACTGCCGAAAGATAGAACCGGAGAAGGCTATTGATGCTTGTAGAACACCAGGGTCTATAGCTTCGTTCCCTCGCGCCCACTATCGCTAAGTCTACGCGGACGAAGCGGCATGGTGGAGGTGCTGGGTCCTGCAGCAGCCGTGGGAGTATGACCACCGGGGCTGGCGCCAGTGCGGACGCCCCCGGTACGTTGTGAGCTCTGATGCTGATGGAGTCGAGGGTTCAGAAGCCATTGCACTTGCATGCGAATACTGCTCACCGCGGCATTGGTGTGAGCCATGTCCTCCTTGATGCGGAGGCACTCGCTCATGATCGCCATGCTGGCGCGGGCATCGAGATCCGTGATGGCGTGGGAGAGTTGGCCGACTTCCTCGCGGAGGGACTCGTGTAAGGAGAGAAGGTAGTTTGTTGTGGTGGCGGTGTATTGGTTGGAGCTATCGATCTGAGACTGGCTGTTGGGGGATGTTGGGTCGTTGTTGTTGCGGCGGGGTGGAGTAGATGCCGTTGCGCGATCATCTGGGCCCGCAGAAGCAGTCGGCGACTGGGCCAGGGTGGTTCGGATGTTCGCTAAGCCGTCCTCGAAGATCTCATTCCGTTGTTTGAGATGGCGAATGGTGAGTTCAAGCGAGTCGAGACGCGCATTCTGAGCGTCGAAGTACGGGCCCATGGAGATCAAAGGGCACGTTTGTTCGTGCGTGGCTAGGTCGGCGCGCTTGAGTTGAATGGGACAGCCGTATTTCGAGGCGGCACAGCTGTGAATGGTTTCAGGGCAAGTGTCTGCATGCTGTTTGAGTTCTCTGCGGAGGATCGTGGTATGGCAGTCTGGGCAGGTGGTTTGGAGATTGGGGCATAATTCGTCAACGTGTTCCTGTCGGAGGTATAAGGTTAGCAGGCCATGAAAATACAATGCAATGAACCCAGTGTTTTTGTATTCTTTGTGCGCACCTTATAGTCTTGCTCCATGATATTACCTTCGCATCGCGCGCATTGGTGAAGTTCATGCAAGCATCTCCCTTCCGGGTCGAGGTCCTTCTTCCGTGTCTTCAACCCACATGAGCCCAGCGGACAGTCCATCGGTCTATACCCGCAGTATTTGTCGACATGAGTCTGAATGAACACTCTTGGCGCTACTTCCTCACACCCTTCGCTCCGAAATGGGCACCTCACTCGAATCTCGTCGCACATGTTGACCAAGAGGCGGGGGAGTTTGAGGTAAACACCGCCGGTGGGTGTGCGGCAGGCAGGACACGTGAAGTCGTCTCGAGATGCTGCGAAGGTCGTGATGGCCGATACAAGACATTTCTGGCAGAATACATGGTCGCACTTCAACCGGACCGGGTTTATGAAGGGGCAGTGGCATATCGGACACATAAGATGGTCATCGTAGCTGGAAACGTAGTCCAGTGAGCGCAGGTCGACGCTCTCGTCGCGGTCGCAATTCGCCTCCATGACCAAAAGGTCTTCAAGAGTAGTGTTTGTCATGTTGAGATATTTTGCTCTGCCATGAGGGGTGTCTAATATGTGATAAGAGCCTCGAGATTGATCCTCCGCCCGTCCGGGAGCCGACGCTGAGCGAGGGAGAGGAGGAGATCAACCGTTCAATTGCCGTTCTTGATCCGGGAAACGAAACGATAGCTCGAAGCAAAGACCCATGAGGGGGCTCTAAAGGTGACCAGGAAAAGGTATATCGGACGAAAAAAAGTGTTCGAGGGCAGGTTCGGGTCAGCCAGGTAAGGAAGATGTAGAAGGGAGCGAAATTACTGGGAGAATGGATGGATTGCGGGGAGAGAGCGAGACTGACCGATGGAATTCAATGCGGCGCGGAGAGCGGCAGATCCACCATCAATCACACTGCCACTACTGCTGCTGCAGCCGATCATCCCTCGTCCTTCGCCATCTCATCTTCAATCTCACTTGTCCTCTTTCACAACGAACTCTCAATCCAGCCACCCCAACCCATCTCTTGTCATAATTCTGTCTTCATCAGCCCGGCGCTGTCAATATTCCCCGGCGGAATTCTTGAATTAGCGCAGTCGTCAAACAGCCTGACACGAAATCCGCACAATCCCACCCGACCGTTCCGCTGTCTACTCCGCAATCATCACCTCATCTCACCCACCTTGAACGCATCTCAACGCATCTGAAACCTCTCATCCGCGAGCCACCAATTTCCTACCCACTACCTTCCACACAGCCACAAGAAAAAACCGCCACCATGCCAAACCCCAGCCAACTCCTCCTTCTCGCCGACCACATCAAGCTCTCCCTCCTCGAGCGTCAACGCGCCATCTCCCTCAGCCTGGAGCCGAACAGCCAAGACGGCGAGATTTCGCGCTCGCTCAACTCCTTCAAAGAAGGGATCGACGCCATCGAAGCCGAGTGCGTGCAGCTCGAAGCCCAGAAGGGCCGCCACGATGACGACGTCACCGACCTCCGCGACCAGCTCAGCCACCTACACACCCAGCACGACGAGCTATCCGCTCAGTTCCACGAGATCACGACCGCCCTCGTCGAGGCAGCATCTGCCTCGTCGTCGTCGTCGTCCGGCTTCGCCAGCCACGTGAAGAACTCATCCCCGGACCTTAAGCAGCCCGTCCCGCAGCACCCGTCCTCAAAATCCGTGCGCTTCATGGACGCCGCCGCGGCGGCTGAGGCGGCCGAGGCCGACGACGAGGAACATCGCCGGAACCTCTTCCGGCCGTACCGCGACTCGCCGTCCCCGCCGCCGGGGGCCAGCGCCGCCAGCATGGACGGGCTATCGAACGAGCAGATCTACGATCACCACGCGCAGGCGCTCCGAGACCAGGACGAGCACCTAGATCGGCTAGGCGAGTCGATTAGCCGGCAGCACCAGCTGAGCATTCAGATCGGAGACGAGCTGGAGGGCCATGTGGCGTTGCTGGATGATTTGGATGGGCATGTGGATCGGCATCAGGGGCGTTTGGATAAGGCGAGGAAGCGCTTGGATCGGTTCCGGCGCAGTGCGGGGGAGAACTGGAGTATGATGACCATCGTCGGGTTGATAATTACGCTGGTCATCTTGATTGTGCTTTTGAAGTGAATTCTTCAATTTTGCGAGTCTGGAGCTTTGTATATATGGTTTGTTTCAGGGGGGGGGGTCCGTTTGTGATTCCCAGAGGGCGAGTCCGGCGTTTGTACTGGGTTTCTGAATTGTGTTTTGTGTCTTTCTTCTCTCCCCCTCCTCCTCTTTCAACTACCCACTCCTTCGTCTGTTCCCTTCAGTCAATATATACCGACAGCAGCTTCATGTTTTCTCTTCCCTCCTCCCCGATTGACGGGACTGCGGCGTTCCGGGGCACCTTATCATCATACATCTACACTCAAGTTTTGGTCCATAGCTACACAAGATGGAATCCATCACACTTCTAATCAAATAAGGACACTGCCACACACACCCACAACCAATCCACCACTATTAGAATACCAACCAAACATCCCATCCTCTACCCATTAACTACACCGCAGCAAAGCAAGTCAAGAACTCATCCGAAAGAGAAAAAAAATTGAATTTCATCTAACCCAGATAGATGAATACGAAAGCTAAAACCCAATACAGACATACATAATACAAGCCGTGAAACCTAACCACCACAAAAGAAAAATCTATTGAGTCTTATTCACGTTCCCCTCCCGGTTAGGCAGACCTTTCGTGCGCTCCTGCAGCGTTGCAAAGTCCTTGTCATCGCTGTCGATGTCACCCCGATCAGCCTTGACCTGTTGTTTGCGATGCGGATGCGGTTAGTAAGGTATATCGGGCACTCTTCCATTTGGGAAGTAGTTAGGGTTGGTGGGTGGGGGGGATTGTTAACGCACCGACGCTTCACTGTTACTGGCCAGCTCCTGCTTCCACTTGGCGGTGCCCTGCTTGCTGTGCTTGAGTTGGTCGTTCTTGTGCTCTTCGTAGATCTTGTCGAGGTCGTCGCGGTCTGTTGACTTAGGTGTCAGTGGTTTGGGGGTTGAGTTGGGATTGGGGAGCAATTGGGGGAAACTCACTGCGATCGCTCTCGTTGAGGCCAGCGCGGGGGGCGGAGGTGTGCAGAGCGGAGGTCATGGCGGGGCGGAGGGGGGTGGCCAGACGAGGGGCAAGGGTTGTGCGGACGGTGGTGAGGAAAGACATGATGATGATGATGTTGATTTAAGAATTGCTCTGGGGGATTGTTGTTTTTGTTAGTGGCCTTTCTTATTTTTCGTTTTTAGTGCTGTTGTAGCTGCTGGGTTGGTGGTGGTGGTGATGAGATGGGATGGGTGAAGGTTGATGGAATCGAACGAATAATGTTGACGACGAGGTGGAAATTAAAAAGATACAACAGGGATGATGCCAATGACACCAGCGCTGAGAATCTGAGGACCTTACCTTTGTTCAATCGATAATCTCAGTAAAAGGATGATATGGATAGGTAGTAATAGAAGCTATCTCAGTGGATGGAAAAGTAGATGTAGTACAGTAACAGCGAACCTGGAAACAATGCAGGAGGGATGGAGGGGGGAGCTTTTTAAACAGCAAATTGTTCTGCCTCGGGTAAAGGGTAAAAGGTATCTACGTCGACGTCGGTCCAGCCAGAGAATGACTCCATTATTCGCTGAAGTCAGTCGTTGCTGCAGTGAGTGAAGGTGTGAGTGGTCGAGACGAAAAGTCGCATTCGCGTTTCAAGGTGACGTCATGGATAGCACATGCGGGTTTTCTCTCCACTGAGGCCTGTTGCCGTTGACCGGCGTGGAGTACGAGATTAGCACAGGTCCTGTTTGAAGGGCCATGCTACCTCTTCTGTGAATGTACCGCTGAGTTGTATGTCCATTCGCTACCTCTGACCTGCTTAACTCTTGAGATTGTTGGAATTGAACCAAGTAGGTTTTCTGTATGTGTTGTAGGTAGCTCCGTAGTAAGGTACAGTACGAGCACTCGTAGTAGTATCCCTTGATCCGGCCAGGCAGCTTCTATTCTAGGGGGTTGTTGGGTGCGCCTGCCATGTTTGCTGCTGCAGATCAAGATAATGACATCACCCACCCTCTCCCCTCAACACTCTCTTAAGTTTTAGAAAAATCCCCTGTTGTCGCGACGCCACAGTCGCCAATTCCAATTGACATGCTTTCTCAACTCCATGAATGAATGTCATCGTCAAAACTTCTTCACCAAAGAGCTCGCTTGAGGCACGCATGGATATATTTTCCGAGGCACCGCCACCACAGCGGGAAGGGAAGAGCTCAACATCACCTCTGTTAAGCCTCTCACCAGCCATGGTACTGGAATGATATATCTGGGCCTGCAACTTCAAATGCATCACTATGCGGTGATCCACTGTCCTCGCATTTGTCAACTCCACAGCCTGCAAAGATAACGCTGCCGCCTGGATGATCTAGCAGAAGTGATACTGGGAAGCAATTGAGCACTAATTGAAGCAAATGGTGGAAATTGCGCAAGTCCAAACTAATGGAACAACTATGTATAGGCATTACCCGCATGGTCAACAAGTTATAGACATAGGAAACTCGATGGAAGATGAACCACCCAGTAAAAACATCATACACTGCATATGGATCACACTCGCCGGGAGTCCCCAGGTACAGAATTATCCGAACGAATCAACGCGGAAGCAGACAGAAGTGAAACAAAGTCGTCGTCGGGCGACAGAAGAAAGCAACATCGGTCTAGACTTCGCTGCGAAGGCGAAAGGTCCCTCAGAACTCCACATCCAGTCCATGGATTTCACAGCCAGTTGACCTGAAACAGCAACAAGCACCGCATGTCACCAACCCCCAAACCATTTACATAAAGATTTTCCAAACGAAAAGAAATGACAGATGAGTCAGAAGCAACCAAAACATCCCAAGCAACACAACAAAACCCAATGCAGACGTATATCGTTTCCGCCTTTCTAGATCCCTGAAAGCATGAGATAAAAAATCCGTCCCACCCAAAATTGTGCACAAACACCGAGCCAAAAAAAGATGAAAAGACCGCTGAACATGTCTGGCATAGCCGCCAGGAATCCAAAAGCAACTCCAGAACCTAGATGAGCGCCTGAATGGCAGAAATTGCCGCGCTTTCTATACATCGTCGCGGACAAAGGCAAAGCAGGTGATTTTCCCTAACCGGATGAGGAAAACAAGGTATCGTTGGTGATGAAACGCAGAAATCGAATCGCAGGCGCCGTCGCTCGCAAGAAGCCGAAAGCATCAGAGTCTAGGTATAAGTGTGTTCGAAGTCGTCATCGGTAAAAGGTGTATATACAGAGAATAACTGGTTTAGCCGTTGGCGTTTTTGCAATCGTCAAGCGAAGAAGGGGGAATTTGGGTTTGATCGTGAATGCGATGGCCGTATCGAACAGAAACAAGCAAGAAAGAATTATGACCCGCGGTTAGGGAGCCCGACAATGCAGAAGCCGGACGAACGAAGAAGAACGTGCCATGGGCGAAAGTAGGCCCGATTGCCAGTGGACTGGCGACATGTCAACATATGGTTCTTACCACCGACGATGAGTATTCTGCATCGAGGCAGGCGAGATTGACGTAGGCGGGCTCGTCAAGGTCATGCCGGTGTTGGGGTTGACGATCGGGATGACTTTGCGGGTGCGAACGGCAGATGGCTGTTGGTAGTTCACGTGATTGAGATTACCGGTAACCCCTGAGTGAACATAGGCATTCGTAGACGCAGGAGACAACGAAATAGCAGGCGTAACTTGCTGCACGGGCTGAATCTGATGCTGAAGAGGAGACGAATCAGGAGAGCCACTGGAGAGTGAGGAGCGATCCGAGGATGCGGAGTGGATCGAGTGCAGCTGAAAGAGAGATCCTGTCAATAGGCTGTTCTCGAGATACGACGGATTTAACCTGGTCGTCAGGAGTGGCAATTACATACATCATCTTCTGTAAGTAGCCCGGGGCAGAATTCCAGGTCATCGTCCAGGTCGAAAGAGCGTCCAGCCTCGAATCGTGCACGGAAAGCAGTCACAGCAGGGGCCTCGGCAAGCTCCCTCATACTCTTGACACCGCGGAATTGGCGCTGGGTATTCTGCGCAGTCATTTTGGGTCCTCGACGAGAGCGACCGCCGTGATGGTTGTTCGAGGTCGTCATGTGGGCGGTAGAGCCGTGATGAGGGTGCTGGTGCTGGTGCTGGTGCTGGTGGCTGTAGAAGAAGGTCGACATCTTGACGGTATGATGAGTAGATAATGCAGCGAACGACACCGAGACGTTATATCGTTGAACAAGTAGACTCAAAGCTGTTTAAGTGGATACAAACAAGGGTCGACGCTCTGGAATCCCGCAAACAAGTACTCCGAACAAACCAGACGAACCGAAAGGGAATAGGGTATGCGAAGAAGAATGACAGAGAGTTGGGATGGAATGTGTGAAAGGAGTAGTATTGGTAGTGAAGGTGAAAGGAAACAGGAGCGAAACGGATCAGAAGTGAGAATTGGAACGAGAATTAAGCAAGCGAACAGGGGGGGATGTAAGAAGAGTAAATGCGAAATGGAAGTGGAAGTGGAAGAATAAGAAGAGAGACTGAAGGTGGAGAGAGGGGGGCGGTGGTGTGAATTTGCGCGCTTAGTTTGGGTTGTGGGATGAGGAATCGATCATTGACTGTGAACAAACAATGGGTGGGCGGGACAAGAAAGGTGGAAAAGAGAGTGAGAAAAAGAGCAGTGCAGCGGGCGCTCGGAGCGGACGGGAGGCGAAGGCGAGAAAGACAGAGACAGTCAGAGACAGCCAGAGCCAGAGCCAGAGAGGGAGAAAGCGCAGAGAAGAAAGCAAGAGGGGCTGAGCCAGTGGAAAGGAAAGGAAGTCTGGTGGAGACCCGCAAGGGAAGCGCGGTAACTTACGTACCTGACTTGTATGAGGATGCAACGGATGGAACTACTAGGTATTCATTCCTTCATTCGAGTCCCTAGTTCCCCTAGTCAGTGGTTAATGTGGTTAATCAGTCCCTGGAAGCGGTCGATCTGCAGAGGGTTTGGACTCTTCGAGAGAGCCGAGCCTGAAAATTTCGGTTTTCGCCGCTGCCGTAAGGTATTGTCAGTATGGTAAGCTGGTAAGAAATGGCTACATATGGTTTCAGACCTGTCGGCGCTAGCCAGGTCACGCACCATCCTTAGGGTAGGAAGTTCAACCAACCAGAATCTCATCAACCGATGCTCAGTGGCAAGGCAAATCCCCCGAAAGCCAATTATCGCCGCTTGAGACGTTCTCAGTGGGCTTATGGCAGCCACTGGATGGTATCACCCAATGAAACGATGTTCTTCTACTGTAATCGACCGCTAAGGCGGGTTAAAGTGACGTTGAGAAGTACCGGTCTAGTCCTCTTTCAGCCTAAAACCTACATCCTACATCACCTCGACGCCTGGTTTCTGGGACCTCTGGGACCCCAGAGCGCTTCCATCTCAACAAGTAACTACTTTTTCAGTCGTGCAGGCGGCAGCTGTCGCTCGGCTGGTCCATCTCTTGAGTTTCTTAAGGCTGTACCGTGCGTTGTATTATTGAAATCTCGTTACCCACAGTACATGCGACGATGGTCTGACGAAGACGGGACCGGCAGTGATGCGGCCACCATTGGGCTTGTATGATGCATAGGTACGGAGCTCGTTGAACTTCACAACTGGAAGGTGGGGGATCTTCGGCCATTATTGATCAGGCTATCGTCTCTCCTCTCGCAATTGCATGTACGATGACGATGGCCAGAATCTTCAAATTGGAATACAAGATCGCGATGCCAACTCGCATCCATCACTGCTTGCTGGCTTTGTACAAGTGTTCATTGTTGGAGGGAAGGAATTCAGGGGGGCAATAGTCATCCATCGTAACTGTAATTCGGTCAGGTATTAGATCCATCGGCGTCTCGAAAAGGAAAGGGGCCGGTATGTGGTGGTTTCCACTTCCGAAGACAGGCATGCGCTGGCAAACAGACAGAATGTCCACTACGACATCTGCGGGTAATGATTTGCAAAGGCGTGTGTACTCCATACTGAACATCAGTATGTGTGGTGAGATCCACTCTGCATGAGCTACGGAGTAGAGTGATTCGCACCTTTTGGCCCTTGAACCGTGTCTTTTGGGTTTGGGGGGTGTCTGAGATCTTGGGAGTGTGTTTGAGAGGAGACGGTAATCCCTCTAAGGTTGCCGAACAATTATTGTTCTACATTACAGTCCAGTATTAATTTGGAGAAGAGGGAGTTCGACTGACTAAGGGAAATCAACCCATCATCTCCTGGCTGAGCGGGCCGCGCATGAGTTTTCCAAGTCCCAACCATCGATCATGGCCACCCTTCGGCGGCTTCGACAATATTCCATAATAAAAACTAACTAACTCTCCACATGATGCTCAGAGACTTTCTCCATAGTCCAACGCTCCACCCACACCAAAATTGGGCGCCCAATAATAGTGCTATTGCAAGTGCCCCCTCCATTAACTGATCATAAACCAAGAATGAACTAAAGGCCATGTTTACCACAGTTTATGAAAGTGAACGTTGTGTTTTGTCAACAAACCAATTCCCAGGTAACCAGTATCCTGGACTATGCACCCGTAGTTGGTTATACCAGGAACAGTGATCGTCATAATCACCGATGATGGGAATAGATCAGGATACTCGTACAAATCACTTCAATTCCAACCACAATACTTGTTGACGGCTAGTTATTTGATCAATTGTCATCAATTCGTCAAGATCTACTCATGTAAGATCTTGAATCGGGTTTGGTTGCAGCTCCAAGCTGCTAAAATAATGCTCTATTTCCGTCCACATGGGGACAGCGCTACAGCCACAGTATGGCTTTGCTGCACAGACACATACAGGTACAGAGTACACAACAAAACCCCTTTCCAGCCCATGTTAGACAGGTACTACGGAGAATGCATCCCTATCTATGAATAGCATCTTCTGCCAACAACCAGCTGAAGGAAGATGCCATCTGTTCCAAAGCCCGTTCGAATTCAATCCGGACCCCGAGCCATTCACCCCGTAGCAATTAGGCCTCAGGAGGGAGCCGGCCCTCTTCAAAGAGGTTGTTGGCTTTTGAGAACAGTACCTCGTACAGTACACACCTACACAAACGCACTGAGTGCAACCGAAGGCGGCTACTGCAGCGCCCGGCTCCATGAGCAGCAAACAAATGGGACGGCAAGATGTAAGCTGATAGGCTGGCAAGCTCACCAGCTCCTCTTTGCTCACGCCGCATGGCCCCATGGGCCTGCAGCCTACTGCAGGTTGTAGGGTGGTGCGGCCATGCCTGGACTTTTGCTCCTGGAGGATGGGATGGGGATGGAATGGGAATGGTGGCCCTGGCGGCCTACTTAGCCTGCTTGAACTGCCCTGCAGGGAAGAGAACACGCATGGTTAGGCAGCGTTAGCTATTGGTGTCAGAAAGCGATTGGAGTAAACCTGGCCCGCGTGCATGGTATTAAGTTCTTTCCACTGAGTATTTGTTGTACTCAGCATGGTTTCCTGATGCTCTCAACTTTGAGGGAACGACTGTTTCACCGCCCTTTTCGTGATGGTTCTTGCGGAGGGACGGAATAGTCTACTCCGTTCCATCATGAGAGGTCAATTGGGAGTTGGCCATTTAGGGAAACTGGGAGGCGAAATTGTGTGCTGATATTCTTTGTAATGATCTCATGATAAATTATTAGCATTGATGATGATGATTATGCAATCGTCAGAAGGCGGGGGGGGGTTGATTTCGGAGTACGGAGTTGACTCTGGAAAGATGCATCATGGAACAATATGGATCTCCTTGGGGGGCTCACTCGCTAACTTAGCTAGTCTAATACTTAGCAGTATCTCTACAGTCCGTCATCACTGGTATCGAGTATTGTCAGGCTGTATCGCCACAGTACAGACGCTTGCAACCTTGTGCAGGAGAGATCCCGATCCCCTCGAATCTCCCCACGCTCGAAAGGGGGCAAAAGCAGCCACATCCATCTTAGCTTTGGAAATAAAGTTTCTTACCCCAGGGATTGACTCGAATGTCATCGCAAGAGAATGTAGTATTGTATCTGGCTATTCACTCACTATCAGAGGGGTCTCATTAGAGGAGTCACGGAAAGTACTGTACCCGATCAAACAATGAGTGAGTACCTACGTACTTCGCCACCCTGACTCAATGCAAGCGATATACAGCCCATCCCAGTCGGTCGGTCCCCCACAGACGAGAGAGCAAGAGAGTTCCCTGCTCGATTTATCTTATCTATCGAATCTCAGGCTCTGTGGTCATATTTCCCAAGGTCCAAGACTTGGAGTGCGTAAGCGCGCGGGGAAGAGAAGCTTTCTTTTGTCGACATTCAACACATACATCAGCCTACATACCTTTGAGGCAAGGGATATGAGACATACACGATCTCACCACCTGCGACGGACTGGCTGCTGTCGGTCTCAGCGAGCGAATGCTGACTGCTTTCGTTAACGGAAGTTTGTGACCCCTGACCCTTACCCATCCCCGCAGCCCTCTGATTGATTGATATCCGCCGACCTTTTGTTGAATTCTATCGCGCTAGGCCAGTTTATATTTCAATGAAATGTACAAGTTAGTGCACATGTGCTTACAGCAGACTAGAATGTAGACGCTTCCCGTGAACCGTGCTTAGCCTGCAATGCTCATACTTATGTGCGAGCGGCTTTTTCGTCCACGGGGTTCTTCCTCTTAGGAACCTGAACTATTGGACTAAAGCAGGTACAGTACTCCCCAGTATCTGCCGCAGCAGAAGAGGCGAACTACTTTATTGTGGTTATAGTGTGGCGGGCCATTTTTGCGGACCACCGGGCTCGACGGTCTAGATCGATGGTGCAATTGTAGATGCGGAATGCACTATCTAGACTATCTAGCTCTCTCATTGATCACTTCCAACTCAAACCCAGGATCCAGGGTAGGACAGAATGGATGCAGCTTATCTAAGACCGATAGATCGGGGATTCTTTGTCCGTGGATGAAGGTTTTTTTTTTTTCCCGATCGGTTCTTTGTCTATTGTATATTGGATTGATTGGCTGAGTTTATGCTGGTACTAACGCTATGCTGGACATGCCTGCCTCTGTCATGGACAGTGGAAGCAGGTGTATCCTAGTATGCGGCCTTGTTAGCCAGAGCCCCTTCACTTGTGATTCTCATAATTGACGAATCTCGTCAATACTTTGAGGGGCCGTGATGCATAGGTAGATAAGAAAATGTAGCTCGTGCATCGCCACCGCTACCACCAGGAATATACTCTGTCCATAAATCTCCCCAAACAATGTCCTTGAAGCAGCATCGCCAGAGTACCACTAGCCCAAACACATTGACCAGCATCAAGACCTGGAAGACGCAAATATGTCAACTACTAGTTAAAAGAACTTCTGCTCACCTCCCCAGTCACATGGCAATTCGCACTCTGTAACCCAGGCACAGACGTCCATCCTTGAAGCAGCAACACACCCGAAGCAAGCATTGCTAATCTTCACCCCGTGCAGAACACCCCTCTCCAACTGATACAAAGAACCAGGAGAAGCCTCGGCAGCCTGCAGGTAAAAGTATCAGCCGTTGGCTTTCTGTGGGCTCGTTGGTCCCCTAAAGCTGCAGTTCTACTTTGGGTTCGGTGCAGATGCGACTTTAGTTGTGTCGTCTCTCGGGTGAGAGCAGTTGTTCTTTAGGGAAAAGTGGCGAGGCTGCCGTATGAGAATCAGGAATACGGGAGCATTTTGAGTTGGGGTTTGTAGATACTGTGAGTTCAATTCATGTGTATTTTCGGAGTAGATATGAGTTATCTTGATGTTCATGTGTGACTTTCAGGTCCATCTCATTCGCAAAGGAGTAAGAAGTAAATGCATTCCGCGGGTTGTAGATAAGTCATGTATGTCGTACCGGCCAGAAGCGCCTGACAATATGTCCTCTGCCATGTATAAATTCATAGGCGCTCTAGGTGTTTGTTAACCTCAGTGAGTATCGTATGTTGCTCTGTGGTGTGTGGTGTAAGTATGGAAAGATGTTGTGTGTATGTAGAGGAGGGATATCAATCGTTTTGCTTAGATGCCGGAAATTCTGTACCCAGACATCGATCACTTCTTCGTTGGATGAATGTTGCTTGATGAATGTGACAACGACATCTTGATCGAGCCCTAAATTTGATAAAAAGCCCGCCTTGCCCCGTCAGTGGCGGAACTTTCAATCCTGATACTGTAACATTGGTGCCACTGTCAAGGGAGCCCGGGGCGTGGGTATTACAAGACCAATGCAGAATACCCCAAGCCATTAGATATTTCGATGGCTCGATGGCTTCTAGCTTCGCCATTCGCTCGACGGCGCAGCACCCAGGTCAGAACTACCTAGAGCGATCGCTTCTGCTTCCATGGCTATGATGCAAGGTGTGACTAGCCTGCCGTCCGGGAACGTCGCACAAACGAGGCTTAGGACTTGTTTTCATTGCGGGGTACAAACATCATTCGAGTCAAGCCCAACCTCACTTGTCAAGGTTCTTGGTTTTAACCATACGACCCAGCAATTCCTTGCAGTGCTTTTCACTGTACTGCTCCCATATTTCGTAAAGCGAGACTAGCTCTTGCGTGCACTCGATGACTGCTTTGATGTCGATCTCACTCTCAGCTAGCCATGCGACTAGCCTCTGAATCCGCGCCGGAGGACCACTTCCGTTTTTATCACTCAATGCCGCCAGGATGTTCAAGCCCCCATCTCGCATCGCTCCAGCCAATGGTGCGGCGGAGCCGTGAAAACTGGTCTGGCTTGGCTTAAAAACAACGGCAACAATGATCGCCATGACGGCGATGATATGCGGTGGGTACAAAAGTGGCAAGTCGGTCAGATAATGGTCGTTGATCACTGACCAGGCAAGTGCTACCTCGTCCGACGTAAGCGATAGCTCCGGCTGGAGTTCGGATAAGGTTCGATAGGGGTGATGGACGATGAGCTGCGAGCTCATCTCGGAGATGAGAGAAAATTCGCACTCGCCCAGCTTCGATACATCTGGGGCAATAAATTCTGCGCAAGCATCAGCGAGTGACAAGGATAAGTAAATAGGTGACGATCGTACCTGGCCAGAGACCCCGAGCTTCCCCAACAACAAAGCGGATATGTTGAGGGCACTCCTCCATTTTACAAGCGAGATAGAATGCAGTGGTCACGACCAGGTAGGGATTCGTGTGCCGGATCTCATTCTTAGTATAGAAGCGTTTGACGTATACTTGTGCGGTTGCTAGCGCTTGTTGTCGCGTGGACATTCTCTTGCCAAGCTTGATCAATTCTGTCCGAATGTTTAGTTGAAGTATTGCTAACAAACCCGATAGTCGAGGGCCTTACGCTGGCTAAAATAGATATTGAGCAGCCTTTGATCCGGCAAAGGAAACTGCGAATGAGCGACTTTGTCTTTCTCCTTGAAGCTTTCGCGGATCTCCGCCAGCTTCTCACGCGTAAACAGCCAGTGTCGTCGTTGGGTTGATGCCCAGTAATTTGCAGCCATGATGACAAGGGAATGTGATAATTGGCCTCAGTGTTCGATATGCCAAAGTTGAGGTCAAGTATCTAGTGCTGTCATCGATAGGGCATTCTCGGCAGGAACTATGTACCGGTATGGATGGATCGTGCGTGGTTGGGGGGTTTTATGGACCGCGTCTAGGTTGGTCTACCGCCGGGTTACAGGCAGCTTATGAGAATATAATCGGAAGTCCTTTGCCTTGGTGTAGATTCTCAAGTGTTTCAACTCATTGAATCTGAGTTTAGGAAAAGTGACTTTTGCTAATAAGTATGTGAATAAGGCGGAAAAGTCGCGATGAGATAGATTGATTAGTAGTTTGTCTGGCAGGTGATCATCGGAGAGAAACGCTTCCCAAACAGGTTACCTTCCCCCTTTACCTAAAGTAGTCCCGTGCGAGACCGGGCCGGGGTCTAGTTTTCTTCCGGCCTTGTCGCGCGGTAACCAGCAAACTGTGAGAGAAAGTGGAAAGCAAATCATCGCGGCTCGATTTCTCACGGCTATCGATCGGCTCCTGCGCAGAAAACAAGAACCACGACAATGGCCGTCACTTTACCTCCCTCTTCCTCTTCATAAGCCAACCACCCTTTCAAATCTCCGCTCTACCCCAGATCTAGCCTTTGCGACTTCGATGCTAGAATTATCGTCCAAATCTCCCTCTACCCTGTTGCGACAGGGCTCTGAATTATTATCACTAGCCCCCGTGACCCCTCATTGAAAAATAATGACGGAGTTCCGATAATCTCTCGAATAACCGAACATGGATAACGGCGAGTCAAAATCGGATCGTGACCAGCGAGTCGACCGATTATGGAAGCGCCTGGACACTAAGGGAGAAGGTCATCTTGATTTTCAAGGTCTGAAAAAGGGGTTCAAAAAGATTGATCACCGTAAGCTTCACCTCCTATGACCCGATCCCGTGCTTCTGCTGCAGGTGACCGACCTCCGTACGTCAAAACCACAGCTCTCAAGAATGCAGACAGCATGCTGCGCAGTATCATCAAGGCGGTCGATACCAACGGAGATGGCTATATAGATTATCCTGGTAAGATCACGCGCATGCCTTCCCAACGGTCTATTGTCTTTCTCCGGGCAACTGGCTTGAACCGCCCGGCGTTTTTCCAACCTAATAATCATCAGAGTTCCGCGCCTTTGTCGACCACACTGAGCTCGGATTATGGCAGCTATTCGAGAGCATCGACCACAACCACAACGGCGAAATTGACAAGAATGAGCTCAAAACTGCCTTCGCGAGATCCGGGGTAACGGTCTCGAACGCCAAGCTGGAAGAATTCTTTGCGGAGGTCGACAGGAACAAGGATGGCGTCATCTCTTATGCGGAGTGGAGGTATGCCTATTTAATGGCGGTCAGCTGAAGAAAGCCCCGGGGGTTTCCAGCTAATGATGATCCTGTTTTTTAGGGATTTCCTGCTCTTCCTACCCGCCTACTCGTCCTCCAACCTACGCTCCGTCTTGTCATACTACACGGCCACGGGCAATCTAAACCCGGAAGGAGATGTCCACATCAATGATCTGCAGGGTTTAGGTACAGACCTCTCGTTTCTTAGATGTTATATCTTGGCCATCAAAAACCTCTTGCACCATATCTCCCCAGTGCATCTCCTGGCCAGCCTTCTCCCCTCAGCCTATGCGGAAATCGGCCCATTCGCATTCGAGACTGCTTCCGTACCGTCAGATGCCGATTTGGAGCTGGAGTGGCTGCCCATACCCAGGACCGTCGCCATGTGGATGTCCTTTCGATATTATGAAAAGAAGTTAACCGAGAACACTCCTCAACTAGGCTATTTCCTCGCGGGCGGAATCGCAGGAGCCGTGTCACGGACAGCCACTGCTCCTCTTGATCGACTCAAAGTCTACCTTATTGCTCAGACTGGTGTGAAACAGTCCGCAGTACGCGCGGCCAAGGATGGGGCTCCGATACTTGCAGCGGGGAAGGCATCCAAAACACTTGCCGAGGCTGTCAAAGAACTATGGCGTGCGGGAGGTCTTCGGAGTTTGTTTGCAGGTATGATACGGACGCGCACCCGTGTTCCGAAGCAATGCTAACTGTCGAAGGCAACGGCTTGAATGTAGTCAAGGTCATGCCCGAGTCAGCCATCAAGTTCGGCGCCTACGAGGTAACTGCGTCATCCCTGGTCGAGTCGTTCTCTGATGATGCTAACAAAAACGCAGTCGGCCAAACGCGCTTTTGCCCGCCTTGAGGGCCACAATGATACGAAGCAACTGAAGCCAACTTCCCAGTTCTTGTCCGGAGGCTGTGGTGGAATGGTTGCACAGTATGTTGCACCACAAGTTCAACCATACGTTCGACATCTAACAATGTTACAGGTGCTTCGTTTACCCTCTTGATACTCTCAAATTGTAGGTGTCCACTTTGATTCCGTGTGATTAGATGTCTTTGTGGCTAACACTCTTCCCAGTCGGATGCAATGCTCAACTGTTGAAGGTGGTCCGCGAGGCAACCAGCTCATTGCAGCCACGGCCAAGAAGGTCTGGAACAAGCATGGGATTTTCGGCTTTTTCCGTGGTCTGCCGCTGGGCCTTGTGGGAATGTTTCCCTACGCTGCCATAGATTTGACGACATTTGAATACATGAAGCGGGCCCTTATAGCACGCAAGGCACGGCTTCACAATTGCCATGAAGACGATGTCCCGCTAAACAATTTCACCACCGGAGCGATCGGCGCCACGAGCGGAGGCTTCAGTGCCTCCATGGTCTATCCTCTTAACGTGCTACGAACAAGGTTACAGGCTCAAGGCACTATTCTCCATCCCACCACATATACTGGCATCTTCGACGTCGCCCGCAAGACCATCCAAGCAGAAGGCTTCCGTGGCCTCTACAAAGGACTCACGCCTAACCTCCTCAAAGTCGCACCTGCAGTTTCGATCAGTTACGTTGTCTACGAGAATGCCAAGCGAGCTCTGGGGTTGAGGTAAGGGTCTTGAAGCGAAGCACGAATTACTTCGCCCTTCGCCCTCCCTCATCAGGTCGCCCGCCGCGCTTCGTTTTACCTTGCTCGATTTTTAGAATTCATTTTCCGAGATACCCTAGAAAAGCCAGTGGCCCCGACGGCCACCGTTGTTCGCTCTGTTCGGGCGGTCGGAATGCGCGATCGTCGAGACCTCTAGCTATGCATAGACGGGGGTGTCGTCCGCTTCCCGCAGTCTCCCGTCCCGAAATCCCCGAAGGCTTTACTGTTTTGATTTTTATGTCATTCGCATATGGCAACTACAAATGCCATATTGCAGATTGGATGACCCAACTGTTTGGAAGAGTCGCATGCCCGACCTTTCCCTAAGCATGGAAGGTGTTGAGCGGTAGAGCATGTCACGGAGTTTTTTTTCAGTTTCGAATCTTTTTCTTTTTTTTTGCTGCACCCCTAGCCCTCCAGCTTTGTATAATGGGGAATTCTCCCTGATAATATTTTCAGGGAGAGATATTGAATGTCCATGCTAGCTTTTAAGCTTTTGTTGCCTTGGCCATTTGTCCACTGTATGTATGTAAAAAAACCTCGCCCCCCGGGCCGTTTTTGAAAAATAATGGGGATGATGATAGAAAGGTACAGTACATTTATCTCATTGAGTGTAGTTCATAATTTGGATCTAAAATAAAGATTACTTGGTACTCATGCTTCGTAGCAACTGTATCAATGCGGACCAAACAACAATACCGCCTAGCAACATTTTAATCCCCTTTCGCCCCCATGGACCCTTTCCTAAAACCCTAAACAACAGCCCGCACCTCCTCCTCCAACGGCAACACATCCGGCACCGGCCCCACCGGCGTGATCCCGAAGGGGTTGATCTGCTTATGACTCTTGGTATAGTGCTTCTTGATATGCTCGAAGTTGGTCGTGTCGCGGAACGCAGGCACCTCCCAGTACAGCGTGCGCAACCACCGGTGGATGGCGGGGTACCCGGACCGGATATCGCGGATATTGCACTTGAAGTGCTGCACGTAGACGGGGTCGAAGCGCACGATGGTCGTGAACAGCCGGATATCGGCCTCGGTGATGCGGTCGCCGAAGAAATACGGCCCCTTCTTTTGGGTCAGGTGCTCCTCGATTCGGTCCAGCGAGGCGAAGAGCTGCGTCACGGCCTTCTCGTACGCTTCCTGGGTCGTGGCGAAGCCGGACTTGTAGACGCCGTTGTTCACGTCGTTGTAGATCCAGTCGTTGGAGGTGTCGATCTCGGATTGCAGGTCCGTTGGGTAGGGGTCGATGGTGCGGTGGTGTTCGGGAAGCAGGGGATCGAATTCGTGGTAGAGCATGCGGATGATTTCGGCGCTCTGTTTTCCGGGGTGTTAATTTTGAGGGGGCTGGGGGGGTTTGGTTGAGGGGGGAGAACGCGTACCTCGTTGCTCACGATGCGCTTGGTCTTCTTGTCATACAGGACCGGAACGGTGAAGCGCGCGCTGTAGTCGGGGTCTTCGGCGAAGTAGATCTCGCGCAGGTGCGTGAATTCCGGGTGGTTGGGGTCCGAGGTGACGTTCTGCGAGGGTTCTTGCTCCTCCGCGGTGGCGAAGCGCCATCCTATTGTGGTTCGGGGCGTGAGTATTGATCGGACTGTATGGTGGATGCTGGGGAAAGAACGGGACATACCTTTCTCGCCCAGGTGCCAGTGCACGGAAGTGAAGGAGATGAAGTCCTCGAGACCCTTGAGCTTGCGGGTGATCAAGGTGCGGTGGGCTGCAAAAGACAGAAAAGGATCACGGTTAGTTGGATGCTGAATGACTGGTAAGTTTGCATCAATCAAGAAACTCACCCCAGGGACAGGCGTATGAGACATAAAGGTGATAGCGGCCCTTCTCGGGAGGGAATTCAGCACCGGGCTTGCTGGAGATGAAATTGCGGAACGACGACGTTTGACGCTTGAATTCGCCGGACTTGTCGGCGGGATTGACCCAATCGGTAATCTTGTTGGTCTATCAATTGACATCAAAGAGTCAGTGGGAAAGTCCAAATATCAGCGAATCAAACAAGACAAGGCTGTTCCCTACCGCCATGGTGCGCGTTGATGATACGAGATATGATGGTGCGGGGAGGCCGGAGGTGGACAATTTGGAGAACCCCGCGGAGAGTCTGGGTTGCACGAAATGCTGCGATAGCTGGCGGATACGAGGCAATGCTTTGAACATGAGAAAACAGAGCCCAATAAGTCGGGGGTAATTGGGAGCTTTATAGTCGTGAAACAAAAGAACAAGCTGGCAGGATCCGTTGAGAAATTGAATACGAGCTCGAGGCCACTTGCTGAGGGGCAATGCGGGGTGGGTGGAGATGACGTTATCAAATGCTTACTGATGCGCCAGTCATCCGTCTTTGTCTTTTCCTCCCATGACAAACATTTAGCTCAGCACAAACACACAAGTTAACTAGTGATCATTACGAGAACTGAGGTTTTTACTAACAACAAACAAATCAACTCATTGCACCCACTACGAACATTCCGGAATCAGACAGACATATCAAGTAACGTTATAGCATTGCTTCTACTTACATAACGTTTGTCTACGATCATCCCAGCATAATCATTCTATACCAAGAACCTCGGCAAGAAGACTATTGCCTTGCCTTGCCTGCCTACTTCCTCAACTTCACCATCACATACGGAATCTCAACATCCTCCTCAGTCGTATCTTCCGCCGTCACCTCGAAAATGATGTTCTTCTGGTGCTCCGGAACAGGCTTCTTGCTAATGTGCTCAACCAACTTACTCATCCTATTGCATCTTTGATTAGTATCATTTTCAAAGTCCACGGAGGAACGCGTGCACAGTGCGCTTGTGAGGAAACTTACTTCAGAGGAAGACGGTCCTTAAGCTTGGATGGCGGGTAGAAGCTGGCGTACAGAAGACTAACACCAGAGCTAACCATACTGATCTCCAGACCCAGGTCGGAGAAATGCTTGATGAAGTCCTGGAGCGGAATATCATCCAACTCAAAGCGGTCCCAAATCTGGTCAATCACGACCTCACCCTGCTTGCCCTGGTACTTGCCCTTCGGACTGGCAATAGGTTCACTGAATCCAAGGAAGGGCAGCGCCAGATTGACGAAGCCGTTCTTGTACTGTTCAATGTCGTCCTTACCGTCGATAATCTTGTACAATTCAAGGGCAACCAATCCGGTCACCAGGGCGGTAGTTGTGGCAATAGCAGGGATGATCTTGCCAGCAATGAACTTCGTCTTGTGACGATCGGCTTGGGGGATCTCGTAGTTGTCGGCGCGCAGGTTACTAGCCGCAGTGATGAAATCAATGTGGTGGTTGGTGTCGTCGTCCTTCTCAAACTCGACTGGGTTCAGGCGGAAACCAGCGAGAGACTTGGGAGATGGAAGCGAGTCAACGAGCTTTTTGATTTCGTGCCCATCATCGAAAGAAGAGCCAGATGCAGGAGCATCCGGGTCCGGGTCGTTCTCGTTAGCCTGGATTTTGACGCCAGACCTGGGTGTGAACTCAGGAATAATCATGTTATCAACAATCTTCTTGTAGTAGCCCTTGTCTGCACCGGGGTTCTTGATGCCGTAGTTGAAGGCATGAAGGTTGGCTCCAGCAATGACGAAAGAAAGATGAGTGGGGTTGGTGCTGTCGAACTTGAGGGGAGTGGGAGCCCGCTTGGGTCCAGACCAGAACGGTTGCCCAGTAGAGGTCTTGGAATCCTTGGGGAAGTTATAAAGGAGCTGCTGGATGGCGTTGTTGTACTGAGCCTCGAATTGCTGGCGGGCCCAGACGATGCAGTCATCGAATGTCAACGGCTTATCCGTCACCAGGAAATCACGCAAATGCTCCAAAGTCTGCTTCTCGTTGCCAGCCTGCTTGAGAGTTTGCTCAATGTAGTTGGGCTGCGACAGATACATGTTGACAGCTTCCGGAGGACCAACAAAGTACGTCTGGAAGAGGTCCCGAGCCCAAGCAATAGTGTGCTCAATGCGGTTGGGGAAACTTTTCAGGGTACACATGGGGAAGGTCTTCTCGGGGGGGTCCTGGGAGCTTGAATAGGACTCGGTGATACGAGGAAGCACGACTTGGGTGTTGCCCTTAGTACCCAAAGTGCCGCTTTCGAGCAATGGCTTTCTGAAGAAGACACATCGGCGATCGACATAAGTTCTCGCGTCAACATTGTCCAAAGCATTGGTGACACCGTCCAAGCGCTCCCAGAACTCTTCGTTGAAGATGTGCTCGGTATCAGAGCCTACGCGATCGCGAAGAGTGACAATCTTACCCTTGAGCTCGGGGTTCATTGCCTCCACAGCGGCAGAGGCACATTCACTCTTGAGCTTGCCGACGTCTCTGGAGCGGAACAAGAATTGCCGGTTGAGGTTGCTCTTCTCGATCTGGTCCATGTCCGTGACGTAGATCTTTCCCTTGGGACCGGTTCCCAGGCCCATCATGGCCCAGTTCTTCAGGGTCTCGCAGCCAATGGCACCAGAACCAACCAGGAACTGAGTGACGTTGGAGATCTTTTCCTGAAACTCCTTGCCAAAAACGGCAATCTGGCCGTCGTAGCGAGTGCCCAGGGGCTTGCAGGCCTCTTCAGAGCGCGTGACGGAAGTCGGAAGAGACTCCAGTGAGTCAAAGTACAGCCACTGATAGACAGGGTTGAATTTGCCGGAGACAGCCTTCAACACCTCCTGCGCGGCGAGACCTCCGAAGAGGGCGGCCAGCGAATTCAAGTCACCACGGGCTTGGTAGCTGAGCTCCTTGAGGAGCTTCTCGTCCAACTCCACCTTCTCCTCCAGATTAGACGATAAGTCGTTGGCAATTTTCAGCACCTCTTGAGCATCACTGTCGTTGTGAGGACGAGGAAGTTCACCGCCATGACCTTCTGCAAACTTGTGTAATGCTTGCACTCCAACGTGGAGCTGCAGCGGGCGATCGAACTTCGCGAAATCCGACACCATAACTTCGGGCTTCTTGAGCTGTTCCTCGAGCGGTGCGAAGTCCATGAACTTCGGCATCTTGACCTGAGTATAAATACCACCAGCCTCGTATGTTCCGAATTCAGACACGTCTCCGATGGAGAAAGTATAGGGGCCCTTGACGGTGACCTTGCGAGGAGCACACCCGTTCAGGCCCTCCATTCCTTTGACTTCTGAAAAAGTCACGAAATCACCATCTTCCAAGCCGTGTCGGGTCTCATCCAACGCCGATACCAAGCCTTCCTCATCGATACTGGCCACAATTCCGCTGAGTGGCTCCTCGCCCGTAGCATCGCCGACCGTGAAGTTCTTTCCGAAGTCGTTGAAAAGATAACCGAAAAGACCGAAAGTATCCGTGATAGTGAGGTAGATACCATTCTTGTGACAGAAGTCGGCGATGGCGAGCTGTTCTTCCAGTGGGGTCAGGGTAAGGACAATCGCTTGGTAGCGTTTCAGCTGTTCCAGGTCGTCAACTAGGCTGGCGCCTTCATGAACTGTGACCGGGACATAGGAGTTCAATTCCGCAACTCTCGGCGCTGTCACCTCGGCACGAGGCTTGCCGACATCTTGGGGCTGGAGGAAAAACTGGGAAGAGAGGTCTGAGATGGCAACCGGTGCAGGATCGTACAGTGTGAGGGACTTGACACCAGCAAGAGCGATGTTCTTAGCTACAAAGCTGTCAGTCAAGTGTGCTCCCATTCTTGCCCAAACGTGGGTGGTGCTTACCAATCTCAACACCCAGGCCCTTCAAACCAACAACCAGGACATTCGACGAGCCCATACGCTTCATAGCTTCATGGCCGAGGACATACCTAGACCGGACGACCAACTATCAGTGTCTCATCAACCACCGAAAGCAAAAACCAGGTTGTACTTACAGTTGCCGGCTGTACAGAGATTCATCGATCTCTCCCTGCTTGATCAACTCCACAGTTTCCTGTGGGTTGTCAATTTGCATCTTGGAGTCCTATGGTCGATTAGTAGTCGGAGATTGAGTGGGGCAGTGAGTATCAAGAAGACATACAGTCATGATCTTCTTCTCCGGCGGAGCTTTGTTATCAACAGACGCTCTGCGCTTTCCAGGCTTCGCAGCGTCACGAACGGGAAGTTCGGAGGAAATTGTGAAAGTTCTCAAAGGAAAGCCTTGCCACAGGAGCAAGACTTTCTAATCAGGATGAATTGGGCCTACAGCTCGCACTGCAAGTCACGGAGGAGGGGTAAAGGCGGTAGAGTCGAGGAAGTTTTCGGGTTAGGGAGGATGTAACGACAACAGGGGGGACGAAGAGATGAGGCTTTGAGCGGATGGGAAGAGTAGAAAAGATATTGGGAATGAAAAAAGGTCCAAAGCAAAGAAAGAGTTGGGTAGACAGAGAAGAGGAGAAAGATGGATCACTAATGCTACGACTTCCCTCGGCGGCGACGTAAGAGAGGGACAAGCTGTCGATAGTGCTGACTCAGCCAGCTCTGATGCTGTAATTGGCTAGAGCCCCGCGGACACTGGCCAGCAACACCGATGGGTTTCCCGCACTGATGGACGGAACTGAGGAAGGCGGAAAGAAGGGTCCGTCCCGACCGGAGGTTGCCAGGCACTTGCTTGAATTGCTTTGTTGATGCGTCCCCATATGGTCTTTTAACACTTGGACTCTTTGATTAACTCTTCCATCATGCCTGTGTTGAGAGGCTAAAATAAACTAAGATACTCTCTGCCCTCTGACCTTAATCGGAGTACTAGGCTGGTACCTCATTTGTTCTATGCCTTGCCGCTATTATCTACCTCCGCAGATCTCGCGACGCGCCGCGATATAGGGCGAGGAGCTAGCAAAGAGGCTTGCTTGCTTATAGCCACGACTCAATGCCAGCGCCTATACATGTGTCGCTTTGAGATCTTGGGACGTTCAATTCTATATTGGCAACGTCAGAAGTCTAAACGAGATAGAGATCTCGCCTTGAGGTTCGTTTGCGCTCTCTTGGTATCTGCTTTAATCACTGTCTGACCTCGAGTTTGCGTCCGCCCAGGGAATTACCACCACAATGCTCCACGAAATCCTCCTCTGCCTCTCAGGCCAGCCGTCGCCTCTTTTCAATCCGCAAAGTGAAGAACCTGTTGTCGCTGAAGATTCCTTCCCTCTCGTCTCTCCCCCGGAAAAGGCCCTCCTCGCCTCACTTGCCCATTTAAGCCGTCTCCATGCCAAATTGCGATACTTTACAGGATTGATATCGGCTTCCCACGATTCCGTCATTTGTCGGGCAGTCTCGACGGCTATCAGTTCGCAACATCTCGGGGGGTTTCAGAGAAAAATATTAGAGGTGGAAAAGGCGATCTTGGTCGAAGACAGTGCATATGTGGGTGGTTACGGCATTGTGCCGCTGTCCACAATCGTCGGAGAATTTGCGCCCTGGACTCGGCGACTGGAATGGATGTGGCAAGTGATAAGGTATATACAGCTTGCAAACACGAAAGGGACCGGCCCAACATGCAGTGGCGCAGCCTTGATGGACCACCTTCGAGCGGAACTGCAAACGGGTTATGCCGACGTGAGGGAGATTGCACTTCACCTGGTTAGCACTGCGGAGACTGCTTGGATCCGGCAATTATCGACGTGGTTACTATATGGAAACCTCCCGATCCTCGGGAAAACCGACTTCTTTATCCAGGAAGCCGATGCGGCAAATTTTGAACTACATGCGGAGCTTCTACCGCAATTTGTGCTACCCCAGACAGCATCATCTATCCTCTTTATTGGCAAGACATTGAATCTAATTCGAGCGAAACGGGGTACTTTGAACGATGCCGGTCTTTCCACGTCTCCAGTCACGCTACGGGAAGAGCATATTAAGCATCTTGCTGCTCTGAAGTCACCCATGACGGCAACCATGATCTCCACTGTTGTTGTATCTATACGGCTTTCTTTGTCTCAAAGCACGCTCTCAGCCCTCCTGCCGACAGCTAAGATTCTTGAAACATTGTCGGTCTTACATGATTTCTTGCTACTCGGACGTGGAGAATTCGCAACAGCGCTTGTTTCGCATGCAGACTCTCGTCTACACGAGAAGCGACAGAAAAATGCGAGCTCGAGATCCAAGAGTAAACCGATGGCTGAGCTTGGAGGCACATCTATCAAAGAGGTCGACGTGATGGCAACCTTGGCCCAGACGTTGACGGAGCTCTACTCTTTGCAGAATGAGGAGGATCCTGCAGATGATGAACTTGACCACGCAAAGTCCTTGCTACGTTTGACAATTGATGATCACAGGGGTGATGGAGAAGAGGCGTTGTCTCAAGGTGCGAACGAAGTCCATTCAGGTATCAGGTTATCCACGATAAAATTCGACGATCTCCTGTTTCCCATCGCAACGGAGCTTTCGGTGCAAGTCAATCCTCCCCTCGATTTGTTCCTTTCCGCCTCTGATACGTCTGTGTACTCGAGGATCCACTCCTTTCTTTTAGGTATCCGTCGCGCTCATATTCACCTTGGTGACCTTTGGAAACACACCTCTCTCCGGAGATGCTATCCTTCGCCCTGGGGGCCTCCTCGCAGCAATACTCCCTATGGTCAGAACAGGCTTAATGAAGGGAGACACAGGGACAACGCCAGACTCCGGCAGATGAGGGCAGTTTGGGCAACGTGTAGTGGCTCGCTCTTTGTGCTCTCCGAGATCGGAAGTTATTTTCAGGGAGAGATCATCAACGAATCATGGCAACACTTCCAACAATGGATTGAGGGCGGCACATCCCAATCGACATATGCTACAGGCTCCCGACCTGGAACAGCATCATCGGCGAGAAGCAAACAGGCTAGTGCGCCCCTGACAGCTTCCCGGGCGTCGGATTCGAGCTCCAACCGCGATAGCCAGGGCCTCAGACGGCATGATCCAGAAACTATAACTGCTGCTCATCGTCGGTATCTTTTCACTCTAGCTGAAGCTCTTTTTCTGACAGACGTGCCATTTACGAAGGCGCTGAGGTTCCTGCTCGCAGGCATCGAGCACTTTATTGCGCTTGTGGTGCGCCTTGAAGGCATACAACGCCATATGGACCTAGAGACAGACGAAGGGGTGATTGACTCTTTAGTAGACTACGCAGGAGAGGAACGGGAAGTGTGGCAGGCACTCGAAGCTGCACGGCTTGGTGTCGAAGGTGGAATCAGAGATGTTATCTTACGCCTTCAAGACATAGATGACAACCGATTTGGCGAAGGGCGGCAATTGTTTGACACGATCAAGGACAAAGGTGATGACTGGTCGTATCGGTCTCTTGATGCCGAGCCAGGCTTTCAACACTACGTTCCCCGGAAGGCAGCCGGCGTTGATCGGCTTCTCATGAAACTAGACTTCGGGAATGCCAATGGGAGCATTGGACCTGGTGCTGCTGCAGGCGGGACTGCCGGCATTGCTTAATGCACAATGTACGGCATGTTTTGCCACGCCAAGTTCGCGATTGTATCGGGAAGAAGCCGTCAGCTTCAACTAGCTCGGAGCATAGCACGCCCATCAAGCCCGGTCACAGCCGTTGATAATGGCCCAACTCACTTTCTGCGTATTTACGCATAGGATGTGGCGGCATCGTCCGGACTTGAGTTCTACTTCAGCACAATGACTCTTAGCCAACTAGGCCATGACTAGCAGGTTTGGAGCTCCCTCGAATCTCCAAACCCTTTTTTCCCTCTAGGTTCTGCATTATGCTGTACATGCCCCAGCAAGCCGATTATGAAAGCACGTGTCTCTCTATTCCAAATTCAAATGTCCGAGCTATAATCCGACGCTATTTCGCCCATTGAAGAACTGGGCGGGAAACCTCTGTTACCAGTGTTAACTACAAGCATGATGGAAGGAGGGAATTGGTCGGCTACTGTTGAACAGAAGACTCAAGGCGACATGCATGTCTCCATACTAGCAAAGCCATTTCAGTCATAATGGGGCTCTGTGCCGATTCTTGAATATGTTCATCTTTAGCATGAACTCAAGGTGCGAATGCCTTGAGAGATACGAGCTCATCAAAACGGCTAACATCGAATCCAATATACGAATTGCCAAATCCTAAACACCTGCTGGACGGGCTATAAATAAAGCACGGAACTCAGATCACACATCTGATCCATGGTTGGACCTTTCACGGGTTACTCAAACAGGCAATTCCTTCTTGAGAACGGATTTGAATCTAGTCCGAAAACCTCTTCTATCCTTTGACGGTGATCCACAAGTATTCCCCCTTTTGTGTTGACCCTGCTCCATCCCTTGACTCGAGCCGATTCGTTCCTGAGTCAGACTCTCGTACAAAGCTGGTGTCATTGCGACGGGTTGTTCGAAATAGCACAGATCATCAAACGTTGAAAGGCTTGGCAGATCACTGGAATCTACAGGATGTTCTGGAATGCGTTGATCATGAGTGGATATGCAGCCCGCTCTTCACTGTACCTCAGCCTCCGGAATGTCATTGTTTCGGAAGCTCCACAGAATTGTGCAAAAGTACTACCATTCCCGCCCAGAGAAAGTCCAGTGAGATACGAGTGACGCGTTGGAGTAAGCTGAGAACAGCCCTCATGGAAGAAGACGTTGACACACGATAATACGAGGACTTATAAGTGGATGGCTCGTGTGCTCACAAGATTCCGTGCAACAGAGAGATTCATGACCCAGCGTGGGGAATTAGCAACGCAACCAACAGGAAAAGCCTGCCAAGAACATCAACTCCGGAGTTCGATCCGCACATCTGGCAATGATCATGGCTGGAGATGAGTGTTAATGAGCAAGACAGATAAGAAAAGATCCTTGGAAGTTCGATGCTGTAAGAGTCTGCCAAAGGTTACACCGTCACTGGTTAATGGGGCTGCCGAGAACATCGGAGGGATCTCGTTCCATGGATCGCGCCTCGGCCAAAGAAGCCGGGGTAAGCTCATCTTTACTCCTCTTCCTTGGCAACTACCCAGCATCGCTACACTGACCGAGCACAGAAAAAAGGACAGAAAAGAAAATGCAGAGATCCCTTGAACTGGTCGTCATAGGGTCGAGAAAAGAATGATTCGGGAACCAGAGCCGACACTGCTACTTCGAGTAGCATTGACCGTCCTTACTGTGCTAGTTGCTGGTCTGATTTTCAATCGGATCCAGCTGTTCGGCCTCCCCATACTCGGAATCCCGTCCTTGTGGGCCTTTCCTAAAGGATGATCGTCACCCCCTCGATCAACTGATCAAGGTTGCTGGCCGGACCTCTGCATCCAAGCAATGGGCAGTTGGTCGTTGCTCCACGATAGCTCCTCAAACACGACCTTTGCCCCAATCATTTCTCTATGCCACTGCCTCGAGACGCGCACGCTCCCTGTGGCAAGCTTAAATCGCGGGGAACTACCGATGCACGGACTAGTCCCCGTACCATGGAATTTAGTGAGCAATGAAATGGCATGGGTCCTGAAGTCATCGTGAAAGCAGCTCTAGATTCCGACAGCCTGCCCATGGATGGTATCACGCGGCCAGCTTGGTTTTTGCTTGGCCTTTCTCTTCCTTTGTACAACGTGTACGCCCAGCTTCTCATCGGTTGATTAACCTTGGCGTGGGTCCTAAAGAGTATAAACTCCAAGTCCGCTCAGTAGAGGAGACAACAAAAGGTGACGATGTATCGCGGCCATTCGACCTGAGGTGGTAGTGTACTTTCTTGGCTCATTTTCTTTCACCCTTCACCTCGCATTTCCTTCGTCTTCCATAATGCGCTTCACGCTGTGTCGGTCGCTTCCGACATTGCCTCGAGCACGCTTCTGTATCCCGTCCTCGGTCATTCGAGCCTCGTATTCCACGACCTCGACTCCCCACGGCGCGCATCACATCCAGACCCGGGAGTCGAAACTGAAACCCGAGCACAAGGACGGCCGACGATTTCGCGAGTTCGACCTCGAAGACCGGGTGTACGCGGTCACCGGAGGCGGACGCGGCCTCGGTCTCGCGATGGCCGAAGCTCTGATGGAAGCCGGCGCAAAAGGTAAACCCAGCCCTTTTGTCTCTCCACCCTCCATCATCCCAACCATCCTAACAAACCGGCCCCAAAAAAACACAGTGCACTGCCTCGACCGTCTCGAGAACCCGCACCCCGACTTCCTAGCGGCGCAAGATCACGCGGCGAGCACCTACGGCGGGACGCTGCACTACCACCGGGTGGATGTGCGGGACACGGACGAGATGAACGAACTCTTCGCGACGATCGCGGCGCAGGACCGGCGGCTGGACGGGCTGCTGGCGGCGGCGGGCATCAACCACCTGCAGGCGGCGCTGGAGCACTCGCCGTCCGCGCTGCAGGAGGTGATGGCGATCAACTACACGGGGGTGTTCAACGCGGCGACGGCGGCGGCGCGCCAGATGTTCGCCCACCAGCAGAAGGGGTCGATCCTGCTGGTGGCCAGCATGAGCGGGCTCATCGCCAACAAGGGGATGACCTCGCCCGTGTACAACTCGTCCAAGGCCGCCGTCATCCAGCTGGCCCGCTCCCTCGCCATGGAGTGGGGCCGCCACGGCGTCCGCGTCAACAGCCTCTGTCCCGGCCACATCCTCACCCCCATGGTCGAGCAGGTCTTCCAGCAGAACCCCGCCGCCCGCGCCATCTGGGAGGCCGAGAATATGCTCGGCCGCCTGGCCACCCCCGAGGAGTTCCGGGGCGCCGCGCTGTTCGCGCTCAGTGATGCTAGTAGCTTCATGACGGGGAGTACTTTGGTCATTGATGGGGGGCATACTGCTTGGTAGATCTTGGGGCTTACTCTTTCTTTTTGGGAGGAGGAGGAGGTGGGAGGGGGGTACATACACGCGCGATACATGCATCGATCTAGTGGATGCGAGATGTTGGACGATGGAGAGGTGGGGATACCCTCTATACTTAACGCTTGTTAATCGTGGAGAGTTATCTTTGAGGAGGACGGTTTCTTCTCAGTACAAAAAGAACGGGTAAGGACGGGACATAATCATGTTGGTCTCATACTGCACATTTGTTTCTCTTGCGGGCTTCTTTCTGGATGGCTGTTTTTCCTTCACTGGAGCGTTGCTGCTCGATACAGCTGGGCCATTGTTTCTTACCTGGCTGCGTAGCAGAAAACACTTTATTTCTCATTTACTTTAATCAAACAATCCTGGATTGACGACGAGATCAACCTCTTTCCACTGTATCGAGACTTGTCGAACCAACCAGTTTGTAAAAGCCAGCCAACTCTATATTCGCTTACCCATGATAAAAAGCAATCTATGACCCCAAGCGAGCATGATATCGAACTCAGATGGTTTCCCCAGAAACAAACACGCAACAAATCGGTCCAGATACCACCACCAACGGTCCTATTCCATACCCAACAGGATCAAATCAAAGGATATACCCAGCGCCGACATCCCCAACAGCCTTCCTCCTCCCACCGTCCCTCCACCCTCTCCTTCTCTCCCCCAAAATCAACACCTCACTCTCCTCCCCGCCCTCCCTCCTCTCCATCTCAAACTCCTCACTCCCCCTCCCCCCTCCCCCCTGTTTCCCTTGCTGCACCCTCCGATTCTCCCTCCCCAACATCCCCCTCAACACCACCGCCAACACAGCCACGAGAACCATACACCCCGCACACACCCCCATGCCCCGCACATACCACGGCCCCTCGCGGGCAGGGTATAGCCGCGTCCCCAGCAAGGGCCCGCACTGGCCCACCAGATTCAGCAGCGCGACGCTGGCGCCTTTGCCCTCCTGCGCAGCCCGGTTGTCCATGCTCCAGGTGATGATCAGCGTGATGGCGGAGAAGAAGCCCGCGATGGCCGGGTAGAGGCTGACGTAGCGGAGGGTGGTCTGTTGCGTGGTGAGGTTCCGGTCGGAGAAGAACCCGTGGTAGTGGCCCGTGAGCGCGAGGGTGAGGTACGTCGTGGCCGAGACGAGGGCGTGGGCGATCAGGAAGGGGCTGCGGCGGCGGTGGCGGTCGGAGTAGTAGGCTGTGAGGAGGACGCTGACGAAGGCAAGGAGGTAAGGCGGTGCGCTGAGGGCTTGGGATTGGAGTGGGGTGTAGCCCATTCTGGTTTTGCGGGGGTGATCTGGTTAGTTGGGGGTGGCGGGGATGGGAAGGGGGTTTAGGGGTGTTAGGGGAGGGGAGGGGGGCTTACTCTGCGATTATTGTGGGTAGGAAGACGGGCATGGAGCTGAAGGCGACGTTGCAGCTGAAGAACATGAACTGTAAGGTCTTATTAGTTGCTTGTTTTATGTGGAGGTCGGATGAGTGGGTACAGAAGAACTCACAGCGGTGATGTACGCTTTGGGGTCGGCGAGGGTCTTTTTGACTTCCCCCCAGTCAAATGCCCCTCCAAGTCGCCGTGATGAAGTACCACTGCCAATGCCACTACTACTGTCATCCATGCGGAGCTGCGCGATCATTCTTTGCCGCGAGTTCAGAAACCGCGCGGTCCCGGGGGAGTCGGGGATCCAGAGCCAGGCGAAGACGGCCACAATCACGCTGGGGAACCCTTCCACCAGAAACAAGGTGCGCCAGGGGGCAATGGGGCCTCCGCTGCTGAACTTGACGATCACCCAGGCGAGGCTACTGGCGAAGGAGGAGGCCAGCGGGGCGGCGGAGATGAAGAGCCCGTTGCGGAAGGCGAGTTCCTCCCGCTTGTAGAATTGCGAGAGATAGAAGGGCACGCCGGGCCCGAATGCTGCTTCGGTGATTCCCAGCGCTGCGCGAAGGAAGACGAGCGCGCCGAAGGAGGTGGCGAGCGATTGGAAAGAGGCGACGAGGCCCCATCCAAAGACGCACAGGGCGATGTAGATGTGCGCAGGCACCAGTCGATACATCAGAGTCATCCATTCGAAGAGGATGTAGGTGATGTAGAAGGCTGTGAGCAGCCACTCATACTGCGAGGAGGAAAGCTGCAGGTCCTCCTCCATGCCGGCAATCTTTGCATTGCCGATGTCTGCATGCATGGGTTAGCAAAGTAGTTTGCCAGATTGGTATTTAAAGGGGCATAGTCTAGGCAAGATGGAGCGTACTTGACCGGTCGAGAAAGGAAAGCAAGTATAACAACGCCAGAAATGGAACGAGTTTGCGATCGAAGCGTTTGACCACCTGTTGCTCCTCCTCAATCGTATACTTCAGAAAATCGTGAGAATCTCTGCTTGAATTGGGCCGGATATCATCATAGGAATCATATCCATCGTCCAGCCCATCGTCGGATGAACCCGAAAGGTCAGCGTCATCACTGAAGTCCGTCTGGACTTTCAGAGATCCTATGGTAGGACGAGAGGGCCGCGATGAGGATGGGCCATCCTCCTCCTCTGATCTGTCGGAGGCCGGAGTGTACAGAAGCCCATCAGACGACGAAGACCCACTGCCGAAAGGGGAAGATGTGGTTCCGGTCGGGCCAGCGCGCAAGGAGGTCATTTGGCTGGATGCGCGTTGTCTAAGCAAATCATAACTTGACAAGAAAAAAGCAAAATCAATTTGGTCGCATTAAAGTCATGTATGTTATCATCGACAGTGGAAAGGATAAGGTACAGTACAGTACAGGAGAAGTGAAGAGATCAGGTCCAGGATCGAAAAGAGCAAGACAGCCAACTCCTCTCCTCCCGGGCACGTGGCAGCAGCTCCGAAGCTAAAGAGCCGAAGATCTGCAGCCAAGACCTTCGTCCCATCCATCGTCATTAAACAATAAACAATAAGTGGGTTTAAGTTCCTGCTTGATTAGATACATCAACGTTCCATCCGGACCATCTCCGCACCCTTGTATCCAATACCATGAGCATGAGCACCTTGACCGGTCATTAGATAGCAGAAATGAGCAGAAACCCCAAGCAACTCCTCACGTTGTCGCCATCCACTCCATCCCATGTGCGAATTGTTGGTATCTGGATTAGCTGTCACGAGAAGGGCGGTAGCTATTGACGGCGCGCTTGCGTTTGTTCGAAGGACAAGGGCTTGCCACGTTTTTGCTACCGTTACTGTTGCCGCTGTTCCTGTCATTGGAGGCTTCCTCGACTGGACGTCCATTGTTGCCACGAGGTGTATCATGGGCTCTGGCTCGCGGAGTAGGATCGCCCACATAACGCCTGGAATTCTCACGACGCGATCCCCGGCCATGCCGGTCAGAGTCTTCGAAGCGGCGCTGACGCCCCCCGCTGAGTTGCGCGGCGCGGTCGCGGGCGAGCCGGAAATGATATTCAATGTCTGGGATGAGAGGATGGTTGGGACGCCCGTTGGCCCGCAGGTACTGCAACGCATTCTCTGCAGTGTCGCGCAGGAACCGGACCGAGGACTCAGTATCCGTGTTGGTCTCATTGTAACGGTAGAACTCGTTCTTGGCCTGGCGGAATCGGATGACCAGGCGATTGATGTTCGGCTGGATGCTGATCCCGTGGCAGGGCGAGCCGGGTCGTCCAGACGCGTCTCGAGTGCCCATTATACCTGAGCCCCCATGACCAGTGCTGGGGTTGACGGTGGCGCCGGCAGCTCCGCTTACGCTTTCAGTATCACCAAATCCGCAAGCTAAGCGACGGAAATGTGTTAGCATGTAGTCTCCCCCTGTGATGGTAAATTTGGGGATAGAAGAGCGGTTTCATACCTCTTTCCAAGTCAAGATTGAAATCTATGTAGTCGGAGGCGACCTGTTGATTGACAGAGCAGGAGATATCAGCTCCAAGGAACTCGGTGAGGTAGAAGTCTTGCACTTCGGAGCCAATTTCGAATCCATTGTGACCAATTGCCACCAATGCCCGGTCATAGAGACTAATCTCGCCGTCCGCGGCATCCTGGGACCGCCGGTTGATGAGAGAAATATGGTTGCGAATGACTCGGTCGAGGACGTCTATGCTCTGTGAGTTCCGGTAAAGATGCAGCAGAAGAGGAGAGGGCTCGTGGTTGGAAGCAGTCCACCTGGCCACTATCTGGTTCAACCTTTGAACGAGATGTGGCTCAAGAGTTGCCGTGGAGAGGACAGCGGACATTGTCCCAGCTCTGAAAGAGAGTTGGCTCTGGCTTTTTGTATCCTCGCCTATGTAATAACGTATGGAATGTTCTTGACAAAAGTATTTGAATTGTTGACAATGCACGCTCAGAAGATAAAGAGACGGCAGGCGACTTAAAAGGCAGATCAGGAACGAAGATGGAGCTGGTAGTGCTTGGAGTAAAGGCATGGGTCGCTTAGTCGACGAGGGGTCCACTCCTAGTGCAGTGCAGTGATGAAGTTGTGGTGGTAGAACAAGCATGCCTCTGTTTACTGTCTAGTTGTGGGCACAAGAGAGGTCCATGTCTTTAACACCGCACCATGGTGAAACTGTTGTACTCTGTAAAATCTAGCCGTGACCGGCAGCACTTCCTTCACAAACTCAGGGCAAATGATAAGCATGGAGGGGGCATAAAGAGCATACATCACGCGCGTTCAATGAGAAGTAGAAGGGTTCGCTTACAAGTATGTGCTTGACAACAACAGACCCAATATGGCTGTTCATACACTAGGAAGGTGGCCGCGGATGTTGAAACCCTGCGTATGAAAGGCTGATGTGGATTGAAGAGTCCATTGAGTTATAAACAGCTTTGAGGCCACTATTCAAACATACAAGCAAAAAGAAAGTTGGGGTAATTATGTTCACATATTCTTGAGATGACAAGACAGAGCACATTGTCATCAGTCATCACTTGGCATCGACATCGTATCATACAATCGGTAATATCAATTGATACGGTTCCATAGTCGCTTGACTTCATCCACCAGCACCGATACTTGGCTGCCCTGTCCATTTTTTGCGCAATCCTTCCAAACGCCGCCATCGCGGACACACCAGACAGACTCATCGAGTCGGAGCGTGCAGCTTGTCTTCACGCCAAGCTTCGCGCTATGGATGGCGCTCTCGCGTAGCAGAGCCATGCCGCTGAGCGGCGCACTGTCGCCGCCATAGTCGGGGTCATCGATTTCCTGACTAGCACATGCGTTCAAGGCACTAAAGTCTATGCCATGCTCCAAGGCACACTGTTCGACGTGATGGCGTTCCGGGATCTTTGAGTACGACCCAACAAGACAGTTTGCAAAGCCAAGGGACCGAATAGTTGGGGTCCGCGCAGTCATCGGACCAACAGCGCTTTCGATTCCTTGAGGTGGGAAAGGAAGATTTGCAGCACAGAGAAGAAGCATGTCTCCAATGCATTCGGTTGGGCCGTGCTTGCATTGAATTTCCGAGGATTTGTTTGACACACTAGAGTGTGATGTTAGCTCAGATGGTATTTGTGAATTTATGGACGAGAGACCCGAGAGGGGCCAGGCTAACTCACTCAGCAATAAATGACAATTTGAAATCGACCTTGTCGCTAATCTGTTCCATGGCAGGCACGACAAGCTGCTGCAGACAGTCACGTGCATCTGGACATTTGCTCATGATGTGAGCTTCCAGGGGCACTTTCTTGGTGGGTTGCGCTGAGGGCGAGGTTCCGGACAACGGAGGCATAAAGAGCGCCTCCTCACTTGTCAGCGCAGAGCCATTCTGATATCTCTTGCCTTGGTGACAAGAGAAGAAGTTGATGCCCGGGATGGAGTTTGTTGTCCATGACACGAGCAAGCCGATAAGAGCAACAATCCCCAGATAAGTGGCGAGCCGGGTAATGAACCGGTCGCGTCGGCGGCTGATGGAATGGGGAAGAATGGAGTCGGAGATGTCAACGTAGCCGGTTTCGTGGGCTCTCTTTTCCATCCTGGCAGAGGTCGTAGTACTCGTACTCCAATGAGTACTGGCTTGTGGGTAAAGTAGTGCAAGTTGAGGATGGAATGGTTGGGCTGAATTCGGGAGGGTGAGATCAGGGAAAAGTGGTGGGGGAAGATCGTGATCCGTGATTAATGGATGTCAACGAGTCAGCGGCCCGGCAATTTGCCCTCGCGTTACACTTGCAAAAAACAACCCAAAAACGTCCCTCATTAATGAAGTTGTCGGGTCATTAGGGGATTATCAGATCATTAATTGCGCACTGCCTTAGCACTTGGGTTTCAGATTGAGGGTCCGGTTCTACTTCCTCAATTTGCTTTCTATGTGAACCTCGATTGCCATGCTTCTCGCATGAATCATACAGAGGTTGCATTGTTGCATCAATGCTGCTGGGGTTGGGACTGAACCAACGCCTAATGCACCCTCATACGCACTACGAACTTCAATGGGCTTCGAAGCAGCCCTAGCTAGATGGATGGCTACGGTCCACGCAGCAGCTTATCTGCCCTGATCCGTGCGAGTCAGAACACGGCATAGATCGATTATTAACACTCCACCCGGTGCGAACACCTCATCCACTCAAGGCACCCTGGGTTCAAAATATGACAGGCGAGCATACCATTCAATGTTTGCTGTCGCAAGTTACAAACTGCCGAGTAATAAGTGATATACGCTACTGTCATGCTGAGCTACTAGAGCTAAGTTAAGTTGCAGGAGTATACTATCGGGAACCTCAAACATAAGCTTCTAGCCTACAATCTAGCCATGAGGGGAGTAATCTAGCATTCACGCAAGTATACAAAAAAAGCAATCAACATGGCACTTGAAACACCGGACCTTTGATTTCCATCTAGTTCGATTTACGAATATTAGACTCCGTCGCATGATCTCAGATCAAACGCCTTTCAGTAAGTACGGTCATCATGGACCTGATAGCGCAACCCGTGGAGGAGCGATGCCAGATGAAACTAGGGCGTCTAAAATTAGCTCTCTGAAGGCAGACACCCCATCTAGAGCTCAGTGACGAGGCCTATCACGCTAATTGACATAAGAGGGCAGCCCTCCGAGTATCAACAGTATTCTTAGTGGAGGCCCTTGATCTCAAGTAGCACACTAAAGGTCAACAAGGAGGAGGGCTAGACTACTCCGTAGTGCATAGCATACAGAGATATGCGACTACTATGACGGGACCCGTTAGCCTATCGCGCAGATCACAAGGCAAGCTGCTTGGCTGGCCCGGAACCTCCGCAAGTGTACCGGTCATCAGTCCTGCCCTGGATCTCTTCTTGCCCCAGTAAGACTCCGACTTCGGAGCTCTGACCGTATTGCCCAGAGCAGCCTGCATCTGACGCAATTCACAACCCCCAAACGAAGCCTGCGGTGGTGATGACTCTCTTCTCTATCCGAGGACTCGTATGGACATCTTTTTGTATCCTGTGGCTTGTCTGACTGGGGCCCACCGCGCCGTGGTCACAATATCGCAAGTATAAGCGAGGAGTCATCACTGACCCGGACTTCTCGGCTGGCCAATCGGGGCGAACGAACTTTCTCCGGCGAGGGAAGCAGTGGCCGGAGCTGGAGAGTAGTGTAGTCAGTACATCGCAGGTTCACAACTGAGCATTGGCATCGAGGCGTAGTGTCATGGCAAGGCGTTTGGTCGGCTATGCTGGAGACTATACGAAGGGCCAACAGATAGAGGTCGAAGCGTAAATCCCATCTGACTCAACTTCACCTATTCCTCCACTCGGCTGTCTTCTTGGACTAGGAGAGTTTGATCTAACGCCTAGTACGTATCCCCAAAGCAAGGCTTGGGAGGCATCATGTTGTGACTCGACGGGCATGATACGCATAAGGGACAAATGGCCCCACCATTTACCACATGGCTAGATAGACGCTCGAACCAGGATGACGAGCTAACAATTTATCGACAATCTAGTTTCAAATTGCGAGAATATGGTTCGAAGTCTGGTTGTTCAAAACAGCGGTGTTGGTGAAAAGAGCATCCATTGCATACTGGCCTTCTCCGTTCAGGGCGGGAGCGGCACGAGGAAGTTAGTAGTTTAAATGACAGCTGAAGAAGCTAGGCTTGGCTGGAAAACTGATTCCATGGCAAATTCAGGCCTGACAAGAAGGAGGAAATGCGGTCACCAATTGGAAACGAAGGGGGATTTCTGGTATATTGGCGTGGTATTTGAGATAAGAGAGGAGAGGAGAGGGTGACGTTAACTACTTGTTAGCGGGAAGGGGACTGTTTCCAGGAGGGGAAAAGACCACGAAGGGGGTGGGTGGGTGGTGGAAAATCAAAAGGAAAACAACAACAGCAGAGAGACAACAAATAATTGTTATTGTTGTTGTCATCGCCTCACATCCCACAGGTTCCCATCCCAATTAATAGTTGATCATGTTGAGAGTCTTGGTCAGCGGCACCTCACCTCCAGGTACAGTACAGTACAACTCAACCACAACTGAGTGATCTAGTGGAATGGCATTCCATTAGGTGGTAGGGGGAGATGGGGTCCAGAATCATCAAACCGAGCCATTATCATCATTGACTACAACTAGTAGTAACTTCGTAGTACATCCTCCACTCCTCCCATGGTAGCGTCACATCGTCTGTCCGCCGATGGTCGCATCTGCATTTTCCCCATCATCTACCACGGCCGGCGGCTCTGAAGGCTAATACGTACTCGTCACTTATTTTTTTCCCTTTTTTTCTCTTCTCTTTGCACTTCAACCCGTTTCCTTTTCTTCCCTTTGTCCTCCGTTTCTCCGTCGTGCCCATCTTGCCCACCGTCTGGCTACTGAACTACTTTTAGCCTTCTTGGGGTGGGGAATGGCAATGAATTCTTACTCACTGGCTGGTCCTGTTTTCTTTCTGTTGTACGGAAAATGATTATAATATTTAATTGAAACTGTTTCCACTTGCGTTCTACCAGCATCATTCACTATCACGCCTTAAGATACCTACAACGGTTAACTGTGTTCTACCATTCTGGTGGGGATCTTTGACTTGCAAGAGTATGCCTCTGTCCCTTCACTCCCCCCTCCCTCCCCCCTTCTTGCAGTCCACTTTCTTGCCAGACTCCCTGCATCATGATCGTCACTGTCGCACCCTTCTCGTCCAGCAAGATATCTCTGCCTTTCCTCTTTTCATCACACAGGCAGGCCACTGCAGTTGATACCGTTGGCGCTCAACCCGTGCATTCACTGTAACCTTGGGAGCTGACCGTCACACTCATTATAGCCTTGAGCAAGCTGCAAGATAACGTCCCCCCCCCCTTGGAGAACCTATCGTCCCCGGACCTACGATCACCACAGAAAGACCCCCGGCTAGGGTTCGCATCTTGAATTCCTTCAGCAAGCAACAGGATCGCGTACGACAGGGCTCACTGTTGTATGCGTCCTATCACCGGCACTGAAAGCCCCATTCCTGTTCCCCCACATCCCGTCCTACCTGGGAAACATTCCGCGAGGACAAGCAGATAAACACCATACCTGAACCCTTTCCTTTCGCCAACTTACCGCTCCGTCGCACAAGTTGCTCTTCACCGGAACGATTGCTACCCGCCAGTCACACGCGCCGGTATCTTGCCTGTTCGACCGCCCTCTTCGGCGCGGATCCCTTCACAACATGACTTCCACGGGTTCGATAGAGGTGGACAAAAGCAGGGATGAAGACCATGAAAACATACACGATGATCCACTCGAAGAAGAGGAGGAGGAGGAGGAGCACGCTGACATGGACCCCTCACACCAGGAATACCTAGAACGCCAGCGTAAATTGGACGAGTTTCTGTCGCCGTTGGTTCTGGATGAAGCGGTCCTCTATCAGCTCGCGCGCCGCTTCTCCACAATCTATAAAGACCTAGCCCTGCATTCCAAGGAACAATTCCTACCGACACCGGTCACCCGTCTACCCACAGGTCTGGAAACGGGTCGATACCTAGCTATCGATGTCGGTGGAACCAATCTCCGGGTTGCCTTCATCGAGTTGCTTGGAGAGGCAGCCGAGTCTGATACACCGCCAGGCGATGCTTCAGCGAGGTCAAGAGATACCCTACGCAAGGCACAGAGACAGCGTGTGAAGCGGACATTAGAAAGAGCATGGCCCATCCAGGAGCATTTGAAGATGGATAAGGCGGAGGACCTGTTCTCCTGGATTGGCGACTGCATCGCGGAGGTCGTGGCGGAGAGCCTGACCTCGGAAAGCACTCGCGGCGAGATTCCGGAGGAGTTGGAGATGGGCATCACATTCAGTTTTCCCATCATGTAAGTGTTACCCAACGAGCTGGCAGGGTAAATCCTGTCTTACTAACGCAACCTAGGCAAGAATCGCTCACTGAGGCGACGTTGATGCCGATGGGTAAAGGATTTGCGATTTCATCCGACCTCGATCTCCGCCAAATCCTTCTAAATGGCTACGAGAAGCACACCAGACGCCCGGACGACGAATATGAACCATCCAGCAAACGGCGGAAGCTGTTTAATCTTCCCAAATTAAAGATCGCGGCGATCACCAATGACACTGTGGCCACTATTGCTTCGCTTGCCTACTCTGTGAAGTCATTACCCAACAGCAGGGTTGCGATGGGAATCATTGTGGGGACGGGTTGCAATGCAACCATTCCCATGAAGCTTAGCTCGCTCCACAATTCCAAAGCAAAACAGGTACAGCAGAGGAATCCCGAGGCTGACGAGACTGTGGTCAACACCGAATGGACGATTTCTGGTGCCGCTCCGCCATTGAAAGAGCTCAACATAATCACCCACTGGGACATCGAGCTTGATCAGGCATGTGCACGACCGGGATTCCAACCGTTTGAGTATATGACTGGCGGTCGTTACATTGGCGAGCTCATTCGGCTCATTCTCTGTGACTATCTCACAACTCAAGGTGGTTTATCGAAGAAGGACCTATCCGCATCTCTTGTAAAAGAGTATGCCTTGACGACCTCTTTCATATCTGACAAGGTTGCCCGCTCTCGGTCCGACCATGATCTCGCAAGTGGGCTGGCTCAGTCCCTGCCGCCTCCTGAATCTAGCGAGTGGAATTGGGATGCGCCGTCGGCCAACGCTTTCCGCAAGATTGCTAGGACTGTGCAACGGCGATCTGCAGGTTTGATCGCGGCAGCCGTTGTAGGACTCCTTGCTTGTGCGCAGGAGATCGAACTGAAGGTGGACAGTCCCGGGGGTTCTCCCACCACTGAGATCAGTGCCAATCTGGACCTATCCGCGGTCTCGCAGCATCTTTCTCCCGCATTAGAACCGGAAGCAGCGGGTACGAATGGATCGGGTAGCATTAATGGACCGATTGTTCCGGTATTGTCCCCCACGCCTGTCCCTGCAGACTGGCAGTCCGGTCCCGAGGAACTCGTGGTCGCATACACAGGTGGGATTATTCAGCATTACCCTAGCTTCAAGGAGATGTGCCAACAGTACATCGATCGACTCATCATGAGAACGGGTCCGCAGAAGAGCGGCAAGTCGGTGTTCTTGCGCGAGGCGTCTGATGGGGGTGTCATTGGCGCGGGTGTTCTGGCAGGCATGATTGGCAACATGTAAGGTGCTGGAAAGCAGTTTCGGTAATGTGTAGACAGATGGCTTGGCTTTTGCTTGGATTTGGACCTGCACTTCGAGGCGTCAAGTAACCGGTATTTCAGAGGGCATACTTGCAGTATATGCGTAAGGCGTTTCTACGGCGGCCATTGTACTCCTCTTCGATGATATTATAGCTACAATTCGGACGGTTGATACATATGATTGACAGAATGCGATCTTGGTTTACAGGTAGAGTGTCATCTTCTCGTTATCAGGTTGTGTCTTGGGTAAATGAAGTCATCAGGAGTCTGTATCCTCTAGTTGCCACATGGGGAAAGGGTCATTTGATCAAGCATGCGCGCTTCAGGCTCAATCATCAGGCCCTGAACCACAGCCTTCTTCTCTCTCAGATATAGCGAAACATGTTATTGCGCACGCTGCGCTTCATAGCCGTGGGCTTGCCATCCTCGTACTCGATCCCAGAAGCACCACCGCCTCCAGACATCTGCTCGAGGCGCTCCCGAAGCTCTTGGTCTGCCTGCGAGACGCTCTTCGACTTGGTCTCGGTGGAGGGCTTGTCAGCTGCAGGTGTGGTTTCCTTGGATGTTTGTGTATTCGATGAGGCTTCTTCTAGGCGATGTTAGTCAAGAATGCAACCCAACCTACAGAGGTGTCTTGGTTATAATCCGTTCTCAAACTGACCCTTGGTATTCGTATCTGCTACTCTACACGCGGTGGAGGAGATATACTTCGTGTCCGAGGGAATGTGCGCAAAGAGAGTACGTTGAAAGATAGTCGATGAGCCCAGTCTCGTTCGACTTAAAGACCCGCGAGTTAAGCATGAACCGAGCATCGTGCAGTGGCTTGCAATCATCAAATCATTTATCGGTTGAGACAGTCGAATTCTTGGTCATTTACTCCCCACACCCTTTAAATCGCATTGATGTAATGGATGGCCAAGCCATACACTACGTCACATGACCCGACCCCGATGTCCACGGATCGGCATCACGTGAAGATATCACTCCCAGTCACAACTCCAACCTGCTAACCTACTAGCTGACAAAACCACCGATTATACCCTCCTTCAACCTCCACGATCCCAGCCCACACCACGATAATTCCTGGACGCTTCACATCCGACCTCTCACTGCGCCAGCTAAAGAAGCGACCAAGATGAGCGCCCAGGCATACTACGAGCTCTACCGCGGGAGCAGGTACTGTACCTCCGACTCCACAACCCCGGAGCAACGCAAGCAGACTAACACCCAACCCAAGCATCGGCCTCTCCCTCACGGACACCCTGGACGATCTGATCAATGAAGGCCGGATCGAGCCCCAACTCGCCATGAAAATCCTCTCCACCTTCGACCGCATCGTGACCGAGGTGTTGGCGGATAAGGTGCGCGCAAGGTTGACTTTCAAGGTACCGTCTTGCCTGTCCCTGCACGTCAAGCTCTTCTCCGTGGAGATCACACTCCTTGCGCAGCCGACCCCGGGTCCGTTCTTTCAACATGATAAACTAACATCCATACGTGTTGCACCGCACAGGGCCACCTCGACACCTACCGATTTTGCGATGAAGTCTGGACCTTCCTGATCAAGGACGTGACCTTCAAGCTAGACAATCAGACCACCGTGTCGGCGGAAAAGGTGAAGATTGTGAGCTGTAACAGCAAGCGGCCTGGGGAGGTTTGAGGATGTGGTGGCGAGGGGGGATTTGGTTTTAGGGTTGGTTCGTGATGCGTTCGGCTGGCTTTTTTGTTTTCTCTTTTTGTCTGCGACATGGGCGTTATGCATTCCCGCAGAGGTTCTTTGTTCTACGGGCGCGGGACAATGCGAAATTTGTCTTGCTGGGTTTGGGATTGGGCGTTACATATGGGGTGGGCTTTGTTTATAATCGTGGGGGATGAGATTGGGGAGGTTGTGGTGTTCTTTGCTCTTGCGAGAGGATGTGTGGATCTAGAAGATTGACTGAAATATGATACCCAAAGTTTGAAACTATATCTTTACTTAATTATTTGAAGTGAATCAGAGGGCAAAGTGAACGGCGCAAGCAAGCCTCACACTCACTTCCCTGCCTGCACTGCAGTGCCCCCCCCCCCCCCCCCCCCCCCGGCCAATTCGGGTTGGCTGGCTTGGCTCATCACAGACCGGGTAGTGGAGCACCCGGACCTCCCAAGAGGGTTATATGGGCAGAACCTAAATCCAAGCGCAAAGAGGCGGGGTGGCCCCGGGCCGGGGGAGATTGAACGCGTTTCCCAACTTACCCGTCGCGATCCATGTCGCAGCTCCAGCCCAACACATCTATCCAACTTCCAAATCCCAGGATGTCCTCCATACCCTGCTAACTCCAACCGCAAAAAGAAAAATGCCCCGAAACCTCCCCTGGCTCCTCGACACCACCGCGAGCAGTAAACTCTCCTCCACCACCACCTCCTCATCCCGATCGCGATCCCGAACCTCCACCCCACAACCCCGTCGCGCGGGCGCGACATCATCATCAGCAGCAGCAGCAGTAGCAGCGTCCTCAACAGCGCGAACCAATGCGCTCAAGCAAACCAGCAGCCCCCCAGGCTCCGGGGGCTCTCGCACCTGTCGACGGGACTTTCTTCGATCCTGTACGTTCCCCACGCCCAGTCCGGTCGACAAATCATGAATCCAGCGTCAGCACAAACTAACGAATCTACAGCCCCAACACCCCCCTCCTCCCCCATCCACCGCTGTCCTTCGGAAGAGTAAGCAACCCCCGCCCCCCCGGCCTCTTCTCTCCCCTTCAACCCCTCGCCCTTATAGTCAGAGTGCTAACCCCCCCCCGGGCGGGCAAAGATATCTCATCCCCGGCCTCCACAACGACGACCTCTACATGATGGTCGAAGACGAATTCTACAGCGTCGCGCAGTCCTTCACCCAGCACCTGCATTACGCCGAGTACGTGCGCCGGAAGAAGGAGGTGAAGGCGCAGCGGCAGCAGCAGAATACCAGTCTTGGGGATCTGGTCCGTCGACCCACCGACGGGGTCACCCCGCTCAGCGAGGAGAGTAAAAAGCGAAACGCCCAGGAGGAGTTGGCGGCGAGGCAGTGGGAGGGGTTGGAGACGATGAATATCCGGAAAAGACCGATTGTGAGTGAGGATGAGGAGGAATTAGCAGAAGAGGAGGAGGATGAGGCCTGGGCGGGGACGTCGTTGCATGAGTTGATGGTTAGTCCGCGGAAGAATCGGTCGTTGGTTGGGGTGCAGGGGATCCGGTCGGCGACGAGGGCGGCGGCCGGGTTTGCGCAGGCGGTGGGAGGGAGGAGGGTTGGGATTGCGGGTGGGACTGGGACTGGGGTTACGGATGGTGGTGGGGGAGGGCAGGGCGATCGGGGTGTGGGAGGAAGCAGACATGGGAGGGAGGATGTGCACCGAGTTGACGACGATGAGGATGCTACGGCATCCGATGAGGACGACGACCTCGAGGCACATGTGAAGACCGCCCCTCAACCTCGACAAGCTCCGCGACGACGATCGCGACGCTCTCCTCCGCTGCAAACAGAGGAACGCGACTTCGCGACGAGCTCGGACTCTTCTCCAAAGTCCCCATCCTACGAAGGATCTACGACCGAGCCAAAATCCAGAAAAGCGCAGTCTATGAATGCCACTACTACATATCGTACACCGACTCCAACCGCTATTAAATCCAAGAGGAGATTAATCTTTGATGACTGGGACCAGCTTCCAGAGCTGCCGCCCCAGTCGAACGTCCAGGTCCAATCCCGCCTGGCGTCGTCGTCGTCCAGTGAAGCTCCTCCTCGTCCACCGCAAAACCCACGAGGCATTGATACAAAGGCGAAGAAGAAATCGCGTCTCAACGAAGTGCCAACCTTCCTTCTCTGAGCAGATGTTGATCTATGATTTCGGGCGCAAGCGCGCGCATGCTCCGTTGCGTGTAAGCGTGGGTGTGTGTGGCGTTGACAACGTTGGGTGGGCACCGAAAATTTCCCCTTATTGATGGCGGGTTGTCGTCGTCTTCGTCCTCACCATCGTCGTTGATGATGGTATGCAGGAGGAAGTATGGAATCATTCCTCCTGTTCCGCCAACGGCCTTGGCGCCGCGGCCGTCCGACTCAATCGCCGAACATGCGTCTTGATCTTATCCCGTGTCGACTGTTGCCGTTCGATGGCCGCGATGGCGATATCCTTTTCCTTTTCCAAGGTCGATCCCCGACTGTGCAGAGTCGCGGCACTGCAAACGGACAGTTAGTCCCCACTGTCCTTCATGCCAGAAGAAAAAAAACACGGATCAGACTTACTCATCGTCCGGGAAAAATGAAGGCATTTCCTCCTTCCGAAAGTTGGTAGGGGGACCCTGCAGCGGCCTTATCAGTAAACTTGAACACTTGCATAAGCTTTCCCGGAAATGCATGTTCCAAAACTCACAATCTCCAGCACCCGCGGCTGCGGCTTCTCGCGCTTGAACGGGGCCTTAATCAGTCGACCTAGCTGCCGAAAACACTCCATGGTTCTTTTTATTGTGTCTGGTTTCTTTCCTTCGAACGTCTTCGTTGGTTTGTTTGGGATTAAATGAGTGTGAGGGTTGCTCGCGAGCAAGAACGTCTGTGTAAATGATTGTGGTGGGTGGTTGGGTGGTTGGGATGATTATGAACGAATGGCTGATGTCGCGGTCGGTATACAACAAGAAGGGGAGTAGAGCAAGCGATTTGCTTTCCTGATGTAAGCTGATGATGATGACGACGATGATGATTAAAAGGCGGTAAAAATCCAAATCCAGTTAATCCTTCCGGACAATCAAGTAGCGAGCGAACAAGCAAAAAAGAAGATTGCTAAAAACGGGGGTTGGTTTGTATGTAGTATTCAAACGAGTGACCGGCGGAGACGGGTTGTTGTGGTTGAGATGGAGAGCAACTCCGTAGTAAGGCGGCGAGGCGAGGCTATGCTATGCAAGCAAGTGTTTCCCAACAACGAGGAAATTAAAGAACCAGGAAACAAAAAATAAAGACCACACAGATAAGGAAACTTGGTTTCTAAACGAGGGACAGGGCGGCCGGAAGCAGAAAACAAGAAAACGAAAACGAAAAAAAAAAACAAAAAAAAAAAGAATTGGCTCTCTATAACATTAGGCGGGGGAACGGGGACGAGATGGAGAGAGGGAAAGAAAAGAAAAGAGAGAAGGAAGAGGAGGAGGGAGAGAGATCTCTTTTTTTACGTGGATCGAGAAAGAGGAAGAACGAAGCGGCCAGTGGGGGGGGTGTGTGTCCCTTTGGGGGAGGTGTGGAAGAGATAATATATTCAGAAATTGACCTCCAATTCGCCCTGTTTTTTTTTTTTTGGCTCAAAAGGGGAGAGAAAGTAGACAACTTCGCCGTAGACAGCTGGCTGAGTTGCAATTGACCGGTCGGTCGCCCGTTTCTTTTCTTTCTTTATTTTTTTTTTTTTGGCAATTACTTGCCCGTGTCAAAATGCAAGAGTAATGCAGGCTTACCGTTTAGTCTGGTAGGTAGTCTAGGTAGGGAATGGTAGTTAAAAGGCAGGAACAGAAGGAAGAGTAAGACCAAAATCCACGGTGACAGCACAGTATGTCCACTCTCCCCTGTGCAGGACAGAGAATCCGCTAAATTGGGGGAGGGGGGGATTTACGCGCTATGTGACACATTCCATTCTTTGCTCCGATGAGTAGTTTGATTGTTGACTCGACCTGGCCAAATATGTTCGGGTCCGCCCCCATTCATACTTTATCCCTGCCCCCTTCCGTTTCCCTTTCTTTCCCTGTTTCCTTCTTTTGTTGTTCTAGACGGATGTATGTACTGTAGGCATGGCCCCCAGGGGGAGAGGGGAGAGGGGAGAGGGGAGAGGGGCCAGGCGGATGCAATGCGTTGGCGGGCTGGCTGCGGTGCTTGCTTGCTTGCTTGCTTGCTTAGTGTAGCGTGGCTTGTACTGTACTCGGGTGGTTGTTGCTGTTGTGGCGACTGTTGTTGCTGTTGCTGTACGGAGTAACCGTCTTACTGCGTCATTTCTATGTTTAACCCCCCTCCAACAAACCGGGGTTCCTTCAGGCACCAGGCACCAGGCACCAGGCACATCCCGTACTCGACATTATCGGGGTTGCTGGGGCTGTGTCTGTGTGAGCAGTGTGCCTGTCGATCTTCACCTGGGTCTACTCGGTCATAAGAGACGAAATATGTGACCTGGTATAGAAGACGCAGATGTGTAAATGAAAGGACATTACTCCGGAGATGAAGACCCCTAATAGGTTCCAGCACTACGACTGTACTGTGTATATGGAAAAGATATCTTCCTACATACGTACTACATGCCAACAGAATCGCCCTGACCGGAGTGAGCTGAGGAAGTCCCCTTAGCAATGGCCAATGGCCCATAGCCCCGGGGGGGGAGGGCGGAGGAGGGAGAGGGGGGCGAAAGGATCACCACCAAATCAGGGCTCTCCATTCCCCGATCTGGGGGAGCAGGGCGATCAGCCACCATCTGAAGCAATAGTCGAACCCTGTCCTTGATACTCACTGACTGGAAGGTAAGTCAAGTCAGCAATAAGAATAGCAGTCAGTATCTTGTTGCTGGAGTAGACCAGATCTGAAGTTCTGCGACCGCATACATCGGGACAGTGACAGCTGCTGCTACTGCTACTGCTGCTACCGAACGGCCCCTGAAACTAGCGTAACATACTTACCGGGAGCATCTACGAAGTAGAGGTAAAGCCCCAACCTCCCCCTTGTGTAGTCTTTCTAGGTACAGGCAGTACGCGGTGATTCGGCCCCAATTCTCCCAGCCCAGCCTAGTCCAGTCCAGTCCAGCTCAGCAAAACCAGCCCCAGCTAAGGTCGGCACCCTGCCTCATTCAACGATGACGTAGATTATGCTTGTGCTTGGTTTGGTCTTCTGAGGACGAATTGATAAGGTATTGCAAGTCACCGTACGGTACTCCATAGTCAGTAGATGAATCACAGATTCAACTCCAGACTAATCGATTGACAACTGAATCTCGCCCCTTGTACTACTGGTACTACTGGTACTACTGTGCAAAACTAATAATCTACACAGAAGTCAACAACTAGTCCTCTCCCTTCCCAGCACATAACTCACCCACCTACCCATAACCTAACTCACTACGACTACTACTACTAGTAGTAGTAGTAGTAGTTACCCGTCCGTCAACATTCTTGACACCCAGTTCCTACATACATAGTATTGTCCCTTCCCTTCCGTCCCCCGAATGCCCTCCTTGCATACAACAGAACCAAGAAGACATAACCCCCCCCCCCCAAAAAACAAGAACCAATCACCTCATCTCAGAAACGAGAACTCTCCATCACAGTGGAGAGTACTCCGTAACAAGCCCACGCCGATCAGGTACCGCTCCCGGAATGACGACCTGTAAAGACTGCAGCAACCTCTTCTCCTTCTGTAGCATTCATAACGGGACCTACGGAGTCCTTTCCATGAGCATTCTTGAGCAACACAACATATACAAGACCTTAAATAAGTTCTATGATACTCTCCCTCGCTTCCCCTTTCAGAAATTAGATAAGGTACTGTACACAAGTAATGACGAGATTCGTGGACGTGGAACGGACTTAAAATGGAGGCTTACCTACCTACCTACCTTATAGTTATATAGTAACCTAGTCTCCCGCTTGATATGAATAGTAATGACACCTGAACCCATCAGCAATATGATTATCCAACCGAAAGAAAAATATATATATATTTCAGCCCTAGACTACGTAGACTCCTCTACTGCCGCTTCTACCATTTCATCATCTCTCATACATAACTGTCCTGTACAGTACTGATAGTAGTCATGTCATAGAGATCCCCCTCCTCCCCAACAGCCCTCTCTAAGCACCACACTACCACTGCCACTCAATTACTACTACTTCCAGCGCCAATCCCAAAGAGAACGAATGAGGAGAGATATCCCAAGTTCCCCCGAACAAAAGAACAGCCAGCCAGCCAGCCAGCTAGATCGAACCGCAACCCGGAATAGCTTCACCCAATCCCCCCTGACCAACTTCACTGACCATGCCAGCGCGATCAAAAAAACCTTTGCCAAGTCGCCACCTCAAGTCCGGTACAGTACCTATTCTAGCCAGAGGGATTGGAAAGGATTCACAGTGCGTCAAACATGGCTTCGATAAATGGATTCGAAGGTATATGAATGACTAAATACTCTCATAGGCTGTCTGCCTGCCTTTCGGTCTATCTTCCAGCAGAAGGTGATTTTTTTTATCCTCATTGCTTTGTAAACGCAGGGAGGATCGGCCGGTCTACACCGCGCTGATTATCTTACGAGCTGGATCAAGTTCGAAATTGAAGGTAGCCCGTACAGTACTACAACACCTGGATCCTACCTACAGTACAGTGCGATTGCAGTACCCTATTCTGTAACTATCGTCATCATTATGCGTTCTGGTCCTCAGCGAGTGAAAGTATGCAAGCAGAGTCGTGTACTTCTCGGCAGTAAACCGGTCCATGCATTCATGCATGATGCATGCCCTACTCGATCTCGAACAATACCATCTACCGCAGCCGTGATACCCTCAGATGGGACAGTACTACGCCCGCAGCATCCAGAAACTCGGCCAGAGCAGACACACTCTAGACAGAATCATCGGGCCTCACACCCATTCCTCATCCATCAACACTGGAAGTCACTATCTCCATTGAAAAACTAACCATACCACTCCATTACAAACAGACAACCCCATCCCCTTCCACACTTTGTGACGTCCCTCATCATCGAAGATCCCGCACCAACCGTGCCCCCGCCCAAGGATAAGGATAATTCCGCTGATACCAATTGACACTTCCCCCAGATCGGAATTAGCAAATGTCTCCTAAAACGACCCAAGACTAACAAGAAAACTTACAATGTCGTCCGCCCCGCAATCCTGGGGTGAGTAGCCCAGGACCCGCCAAGAATGATATTGTGCTTGCCATCGAAGAAGTCGGCTTTCGTCACGCGTTAGCAATTGTCCCAACAGGCGACATGGTACTCTTGGGGTAGAACGTACAGGTATATCCCGGGTAGATCTTCATCGCCTCAAACCCTTCTTGTCGCTCCAGAGTTGAGCTCGTCCATTCCCATACCCCGCCGAGCTCACCGTGCCCGGCAAGTCGATCGCCGTGCTGGATGACCGGGGTAGGGTGCCAGTGCTTGAACCCGACGTTGCAGTCGTCGAGGTCCACAAACACCGGCTGCGACTCATGCGACGCCTTCGCAGGATGATTCAACTTGGTGGCGGGGACGCCGTTTCCGTGCCAGTTAACGCCGTTTGTCTCGCTGTGACTATTCACCATTAGCCTTATGGACTTAAACACCACGAACCAGGTAACCGACCCATATCCATTAGGCAAGTCCTGTTTGCCATTCAATTGAGCCGCGTGGGCATAGATACTCTTCACTTCCTCGTAGGTTGGAATTCGACAGCCCATCCATTGCGCATATTGTGCCAACTCATCGTATGACGCAATGACCGGCCAATCCTGCGCATACTGCAACGGCACCGGCCCAAACACCGTACGAACTGCAAAGCTCGCCAGGTACTCCTTCGTAGCGTGGCCGTTACTATGTCCACCATGCACGACACCAGACGACCCCTTGGGATGGGTCCAAACCCACGACTCTGGTTTTTGGTCCAAGCTATTCGCTTGGAGATATCTAGCATATTCGCCATTCGTGATGGGTCGACCCTGTGCCTGGAATGCCTGGACAGAAATGACCCTCGCCGGCTTTTCGTTGTCCCATGCGTAGGATACACTAGGCACCGATACCCCGTCATCGTCAAGTCCTATGGAAAGAATCTGTTCGGGAATGGTGAACCAGTCGTTCGACCTCTCGCGCTCTCGGGCGTCTTGGAATATCTTTTCGAAGTCCGGCCTGGGGACAGCAGGCGGGGGGTTTATCCGCTCACTCTGAACGAGCATGTAGAGAAAGGTCTCAAGGTGCATGGCTTCATGCTCGAAACCGATCCACAGAGCTTCCCCCAGCGTGCGATCCTGGGACAGGTCGTTCTTCTGGTAGACGGACCGAACGCGACTACGAACTCGTTCTTGGTAATCCAGAATCTCGTTGAGCGGCGGCCATTCATCTGGAATCTCGCTGTGTGAATGGCACTGTTCAGGGTTGTCCACGTCGGGGTCAATGCCACGTTCAAAAATCATCTGGTATGACTTGGGATGAGTCGGCTCATCGCCCAGCGCTCGAGTGAGGTGAATATCTGTTGGGGCTTAGTAAAGTTGAAGTCAACCCAGGAGTCAAGCACTTACCTAAGAATGTCGGGATATGACCAAAATAGAATATCAAGGCGTTGCGCAGTTTGATCGGCTTGGAAAGCAGCTCCTCGCGAGGCACCATCGACCTAGTGACGATGTCCCACGCCGTCCAAAGCTTCCGGAACTCTTCGTATGTCGGGACCGCACCTGCCGCATACTGTGAAGATTTCGTCGGATAATTCAAAACTGCTGAAGACAGGATATGAAGATCTGTAAACACCCGAGTCAGCTTCGGCCGTTGCAGGCAACACCCCAGGGTGACCCCAGAGCGCTGCGCGCATGGAGTGAAAAGGAAGTTGGGGAGTGAAACATACGATACTCCCCGGCCTCATTCCCATACTCCACCTTATGGATCAACCCAGCATCATGCCACAACTGCTCCCGCTGCGTAGCACTATACTTGTACGCCTCTTCAAAGATCAGCTTCTCGCCCTTCTTGATCACCGTTTCATTAATGGTCACGTCATGCTTCGGCGCGTAGAACGCCCGATGTGTCCCTTCCGCAACATTATAATCCGTAACAACATCCCAGTCTTCCAGCTTGAACGCCTCATACCCCAGCACAGCATTGGCATGAACGAGCCCATTCTCATAGAACTGCCGCGTGATGCCTTTGGAGTCATTATAAGCCCGGAACACCCTGTCCGGATCACTGCAAGCATCCAGTCCGATAATCATCAGATCGTTGGGGCCCAGGAGCCGAGCGAATTGCCCCAGGAAGCTCGCCGCCGACGGTCGGTCAAAGTTTCCAATCGACGAGCCCATGGACATGATCACCGTCGGCAGCTTGCGGTTCTCGGGTCTATCCAGCCAAGCCATAGCGTCGTCGTACGTGCCATGCAGGCCGTGGAACTCGACGTGCGTGAAGTCGTCGATCGAAATTTCGGAGAAGGTGCGTTGAAGCTCGGGAAGGGACAGATCGAGGGCATAGTAATCAACGCGCTTGCCGGCTAACTCAAACTCGCGGAGCAAAATCTCAACCTTGCGGAGGTTTCTATACAGTTCGAATTCCATTTTAGCTTCCGTTGCTCGGATTCTTGGAGGGGTGGAAGAAAAGATAGAAAGCAACACATACCCACTTCCTAGCTCCAGTAACTGCGCATTGTCCGGGATGCGCTCCACGATCCGCTTGGCGTGCGTGCGTAGCACCTCAATCTCCGCGTTGGTTAGGTAGTACTCCTCGAGGTAAGTGATCTCCTCGAAGAGCTTCAGGCCCTGGTCATTATACAACAGCATGGTGGGCATTGAGCGACTGGTGCCAGCCGGAGGAGAGATTCCTCGCTGGATCTCGTTCACCAGGGAGAACTCGAGTTCATGTTGGTGGATGGCCACAATGTCGACACTCTTGGTCGGACAAGTTAACGGAGACATGGTTGCAGGCCCGTGTGGCTTGAAGTCTATTTTATAATATACCGAGGTCCTTTGGAAGGGGGAGAAAAAGGAAAAGTTCAGGAAGACAAGTATAACCCCGTCCAAACACCAAAATTTTGGGACTAGCCAAAAGGCGCACTCTATAATAGGTCTGAGAGAGCAAGATAGAGACAGAGAAAGAGGTAGGGAGAGAGGACAAAGAGAGGGCAATGTAGTGTGTGCGCCTAAGAATGTTGTTGTATATATGCGGATGCACGTCGGGTGCGAAGGGCAGTATGTAGTTATGGAGGAAAGAGGGGTAAAATGGGGAGAGGGGTGAAAGGCAAGTCAGTCAGTCAAGTCAGTCGGCCCTTGCAGCACCGAGAAGATCTGAATGAGGTGTAAATAAACAGGAAAGGCAAGACCACCTGCATAAGTAGTAGCCTTCTGCTGGTGGGGGGAAAGAGAGGGGGCACGGTGCCTTGTATGAGTATGTCCCTGAACATTTGTGGACGCCGAGGAGTCGAATGCAAACAGCCCACCGGGGCATGGATCTTATCGGTCAGCCATGGATGATGAGACTCTCGACTATTGCTCGATGGCAGTCAGACCACGGCTGAAAGGAGGGGAAGTTGATGGGTTATTTTTACAAGGAACCCCACCATGCAAGGAAGGGAATTCCTTGGAGATACTGTTAGGTCGGTCCATCCATCATGTTTTTTTTTTTTGTTTTTGTTCTCCGAACTCCCCCGCTGAGTGGTGGAATGATCCAATGGAGCTGTGAGAAAGATGGAAGTGACGCAGACATGCGGGTGCAATTTCCAACGAGTCTGACAATCTGACAATAAAGTTGGGCGAGAACGAGAGAGAAAGAGACAGAGTGGAAGTGAGTGGATGAATCGAGGAGTGCATGAGAGGGTCATGACGTTGTGTTTGCATTGCTCTGTGCTTTGTGGTGTTTGCACTGTTGCACTGTTTGGCCAGGGTCGTATCGGCCCCACTCCGGGGTGGAGATCTCCACCTGTTTGCTGGGTTTGGATGTTTTGTCTTCAGCTCTGACATACTTAGTAACGGCAGTTCATTGTAGCTCTTCTTACGCTAACTGAGATCCATGTCTCTGCTTACCAAGGTTGTGATCCAATCTGACTCACAGCAAGTTTTCCTTGATTCATAATCCATTCGTGTTGCTGGAAGCCTTCAGAAACAGAAAAATGGTCCGCCGGGTGCGCCAAGTCCAGCAACTCAGTGCCTGCCTGTGGTTACACTGTCAGATGATCACCACAAACAGTACAGTACCGGGAAAGGCTGAACAGATGTGATAAGATTAGGGCTAATCAGATTCTTGCTGCCCTGCAGCTGCTAGGATGATCATGACCCAGGTCATCTTAGCTCTCTCCATCAGATCTCTTCCGCACTTCGAGTCCCGAGTAAACTGTCAAGCGGCGACACGTCGCCTTGATGTCTCGGGAAACCGCAGAATGGCTGGGAGTCACGCCTCACCAAACAGAGACACAATTTCTTTGTCCCACGGTGCTTTGTCCGCCAGCGAGCACCATGAAAGAGCCAATTCACCATCAAACCCAGGGGTACCCGCACATTTACAGACATATAAGCCCCCCTAGACATTTTCCACAACCCTAAAACCAAAGTTAAACCCATAGCACCTTTCACCACACAAAAACAACAACAACAAAAGAAAATGAACCCCCTACCACCCATCAAGCGCCACTTCTTCGGCGAATCCTCCTCCGAGGACGAAGCGGACCGCCACGGTGACCCCGACGAGTACCAATTCAAGGACTTCTCATCAGACGAGGGAGACGGCGGCAACGACTCCGACCTGGCCTCGGAGTACAACCCGGAGCCGCTGCCGCCGCTGGACGAGGGCGACACCTCGTGGAAGGAGTACGACCCGGACGAGGGCTACTGGTACGTGGGGACGGAGTTCCTGGACCGCGAGTCCACGCCGTCACCGACGCAGGTGGAGGCCCGGGAGAAGGCGGCGGCGCGGCGGGCGGCGCGGCGCCGGAAGAAAGCCGAGGCGCGAGCGGCGCTGGAGGCCCACCTGGAACGGCGACGGGCGGAGTCCCCGATCGAGCCGCTGCTGGCCGGGCTCGACGAGAAGCTGGACCGGTGGGAGATCACCCTGGCCCTGCACCGGGCGATCACCTTCCTCGAGGAGGGCCAGGACCGCGAGGCCGAGCACTTCGTCCTCGAGGCCTTCGGCATCGCCCAGCGGCTCGGCAACCCGGTGTGCCTGGCGCGGTGCCAGTACTGGCAGGGTCGGGTGGAGTACTTCCGTGAGAACTACCACGAGGCGCAGCAGTGCTTTCAGGCGTGTCGGGAGGGGATCCTGGATGCGCCGGAGGGTGAGACCATCACGTGGTACCTGCGGGTGTCCAGGCCCGGGCTGACCGAGGAAGAACGGCAGCGAATCGGGGAATCGGAGCAGGTTCGCGATCGAGCGCAGGGCTTGTATGGGTATTCGCCGCAGTCGAACAGTCCTGTTTCCGGGGACTTCCACTTCCCTTATCTTCAGGACACAGAGCACGCATGGTGGGAGGAGGAGGAGGAGGAGGAGGAGGAGGAGGAG